CTAGTTTATAATGATGTGTGATGACAAGGATCAGAAAACTTCTATTTGTTTAAGTGGAAATGCTTAAGAAGGATGGAATATTGAAAAGTACCTAGGAGGAGAAGAAAAGCCAATGCATGACCACAGATTTCCTAAGGAGATGATAATTTAATAATTAGGAGGTGTGACCATGTGGTAAGCCTGGAGGAAAAAGCAGGCCTAGGGTCATGACCATGCAAAGAGTCACAAAGTCATAGAGAAAGTGAAGCAGAGCTTGTAGAAAAAGTGTGGTCAGCAGACTAGTGACCCAGGAATCTATACCAACAACTGCCAGCTCGTTGTGAATTTTCTCCATGAATTTTGTACTGATGGGGACCTAATATAAAAACATGTAGTCACACTGCACTTCTCAGAACTTGGATTTTATTGTGTCATTCTGTTCAAAGAGAAGAAAGAGGGTAATGTTAATTGTTAGTCATAAATATGCAATGTATGGGATGTAGATAAAACTGGTCTTGCCTCTAGAAGTTGGGATGTTAGATCTGTAGCAAATTAGAAGGTGTGCCATGCTTGAGCCAGAAAGAACACATGGTAAGGCAAACTATAATCACAAGGAAGCTATGGATCATTGTAAGAGCAAAAGAGTTATTTGTGATATGTTTATAGGAAATGGTTGGGTTAGCAATCAGTGAAAATGCTCCTTATTTGTCAATTAACAACTAAGTAAAAAATAAGTGAAAGTTCAATGACTCTAAAATACAGAATTGGGGCCTCGGGAGATGCTTTAGTGTGTAAAGTACTTGCTATGCAAGCATCGGGATTGGAGTTCAAGTACCTGGGACTTACGTAAAATTGGGCACAGTAACACATGTTTGTAATCCCAGTCCTGGGAGGTTGGAGGGAGATGAATCCCAAAGACTCTCTGGCCATGTAAGACAATTAGGTCCAGGTTCAGTGAGAAATCCTGTTTGAAAAACAAAAACAAAAACAAGGTGGAGAGCAATAAATAAAAACACTCAACCCTGATAACTAGCCTCTACACACACAGGCAAGTACACCTACAAACACATATTCTCACACATACATACACCACACACACACACACACACACACACACACACACACACACACACACACACACACACGCATGCACCTGCTCAGTGTGTGTGTGTGTGTGTGTGTGTGTGTGTGTGTGTGTGTGTGTGTGCAAGTGTAAGTGCATGCATCTTGAGGGCAGACATCAACTTTAGGCACATTCCTCAGAAACACCATTCATTTAATTTTTCAGACAGGCTCTCTCATCTATGTCTATACCACATTGAATGTGCCTGATTTCATCTGAGCCAAGTGCTCTTACTAATTTGGAGTTCCCCAGTCAGTCTAGACTGGTTAGTTTCATAGATCTTTCTGCCTTCATGTCAACACTGGAATTACAAACACACACCACTATGCCCAGCATTTTACATAAGGACCAAGGCTCAAACTCAAGTCTCCACCTTGCATAGCTGAGCCATTTTCCCAGATCCATAATCAAGGTCTTCTGATTATGCTTTCTAGGAAAATAAGTCTCAGCCCATTCCTGCTTTATAGCTGAGATGTTTGACAAGGGTATCATTCAAATTCAGGTTTTCTTTCCTTACTTGTGCCACGAAGAAGGCAATTTCTTCTTCATAATATGAAATGATTGCAAAGAAATTTACATATAAGTATGATACAATATTTTCAGAATAACCCATTTTTTATCCTTTCCCTTATATAGCTAATGTAAATTATACTCTTCAATGGAATCCCCTGAGCCTTGGGGGCTCCTTCACTGAAATGACTGGTGGATATTCATTAAGCCCATGCTTTCCCACATTGTCACTTGAAAAAATTGTCAACATCTTAAATTAGGGTAAGACTTCTAATGTTTCTTAGCACTATTGTATGTTCTATTAAGTTATTGAATTTTAAAATACTTTAGGGTATTAGGAAACTTATAAGGGAAATTTTAATTAGAGAAAAAGGATTTGTGAGGCACTCTTAATCTTACAGTATCATAATTGTTCATGATAGAAGCCCAATAATAGACAGTTGCTTTTAAAGCTCTAATTGCATTTTTTAAAATTACAAGCTAGAGAGAATAAATTGGATCTTAGAAATGGGAAAAAGCTAAACTGATTATCACTGTGAGTCATGAGCAACTGGAAGAAGAGATCACAATGAACAAATTTCTAAACCATTATTAAAAACTGCTATTAGAATAATTAAACATGAAATTGAAATGAAATGGAAAACAAAAACAAAATAAAAACTGCACCTCCAAAGGAAAATTAAGTGCCAGATCACATAGTCAATGGGATAGGCTATTAAACAAAGAAAGCATTCACAGCTGTGAGCTATTTTTCTACAGACAGGCAATTGTGGTTGCCTGCAGTACAAATTGTGTTGCATTATTATTAGTGTGTGTTATATTCATGAGTGGAAAGGAAAAAAAATCATTCTTTTCAGAGTGAAAATGCCTGAGGCTCCCATATTCCCTATGGAAGCTTCTTGCCAATTAGATGTTAATACTAAAATCCACCAATAATCTGATTTATGTGTCGTCTAGAAGAGACACTATCAGTTTGAGTTTTGGGGACTCTTACCATGCATACATGGATTACCAAGACAGTCCCTAATGGTGCCTCTGCTTTTCTTGAATTATTAATACATTTAGTATTGTGCTGTGTTCATGATTACTTGGGGTTCAGTTACTATTATTTTAATTGTTATAAGCTAGTGGGGGAAGGATAGAGTTAGAGTAAAATAAAAAGATACTTTAGAGCCAAGTTAAAGCCAAATAATATCATGATCTTGTTAATCTAGACAGAAAAGAGAGGCTAGAAAAGGGAACTTTCTCTGTATAATACAATGTAGACTTGCTAAATTTCAAAGAGCTAGTTCAGTAAGAAGTCAATGTTGGATTCTGTACATGTTGCAAGCCATAGAGTTTCAACAAAAATTTGTAATTTACTAAATTCCTACTCTGAAGTATTTATATTTAATTCATATATTTATTTGGTTTTACACACACATATATTTAAAATTGTAAGTTAAATCAAACCATTCCAAAGACAATTTAAGCTCTAAAACCAGACAATTTAATTACTTTTACATGTCAGGATTCCACAGCGTCAGAGAGGTGGTCTAATGGTTAAAAGCATTTTTTGCTCTTTCTAGAAGATCTGAGTTTAGCTCCCAGATCCCCATGGGGCATTTCACAACATTCTATAACTCCAGCTGCAGGGGATATAGCAACCTCTTCTGGCCTCCATAGGCACCTGTATATACATGATAAGCACTCACACAGACACATACACACACTTTCCAAAAAAATTACTAATGTTTCAAATACCTGATTTAAATTCAGTTTCTCTGTGTCTGTCAAAAGTATATAAAAAATGGAGTACTTGCCACATTTGTTTACTGTTGCACAGCTCTGATGTTTATAAATTCTTTATTTTATTGTTGAAAACATGTTTTCTGTATGTCCTAACTATTTGGTGGTAGTTACACATAGACAGAACTCACGTTTGTTCTTGTTTGTTTAAATAGTCAGTTATAGAAGGTTAATCATCATGGTCTTTGTTACTATACATGTGGCCTTTGTTGTATCAAGAATAATTTTTAGAATTTACTTTGGGGACAATACTGTGCATTTACCATTTTCCCCTTTCTAATCTAAAGAGCAACAGCCCCATTCCACTCAAAATTTCTTTGATTTTTTTTGACCACTCAAAATTCTAAATAACTTGTATCTGTGATTATGTGGGTGTTATTGTTTTAAAATGTGGTACTTAGAAATAAATACACAGGCCCAGCAAGATGACTCAGTAGGTAAAGGCATTGTTTACGAGGACTGACAACCTGAGTTCTGATCCCCAGAACCCACAAATGGAAGAAGAAAACCAGCTCCCCAGAGAGTAGTCTTGTCTCCACTCCACTTGGTGTGCTCACACCAGCACTGCTTCTCACACAATAATGTGTGTGGGTGTGGTGCATGCAAGTGTGTGTGTGTGTGTGTGTGTGTGTGTGTGTGTGTGTGTGTGTGTGTGTGTGTGAAATTTGAGAGACATCCAAAAAGGCAGACTTTTTGATAGAATCTGTAGAAAGAAATAGGAATTATTAAAATCAGTAGTGTATTACATTCAGGGGGGCAAAAAAACAGAAGCAAATGGCAAACTATATTTGCTTTAAATTTTTTTTTTTTTTTTTGGTTTTTCTAGACAGGGTTTCTCTGTGCAGCTTTGTGCCTTTCCTGGAACTGTCTTTGTAGACCAGGCTGGCCTCAAACTCACAGAAATCCGTCTGTGTCTGCCTCCCAAGTGCTGGGATTAAAGACGTGTGTCACCACAAATTTTTTAAATATACTTATAAAAGAAGACCAAAATGTTAAGATTAATGTTAAATGTACAAGAATAAATTACAAGAATTCAGAAGGTTCAGAAACTGAGTTCCAGTTATTATTGGCAGCTTCTAGGAAATAGCTGTAGAGTTTGGTCCTGAACTGCTAATTAGATCAGAATATACCCAATAGAAATCACTGAAGCACAAATATTGGAACTGTCAAAACAAAACCCACATGTTTTCCGGTCTTTGTCTAGTCCTTTTTCTCCTCTTCACTACACAAAAAGAACTTCTTCTGGAAACAACCAATTAATAATCAAATCTCTTTTTTAATGGAAACTGGAATTTAAATTAGGCAAAATAGTTTTGTGCTTCTTCTCTATCTGGTTTGCATCAGGCGAATGCTACTACATTATTTTTGAGCCGAATTTCTCTTCTGACTCGAAAAAAAAAAAAAAGTTTTGTCAAAGCAGGAAGACTGGCATGTAACCACACAAGCCATGCTTCCTGGTTTTTTCCATTTGCCCTTAAGCAAGATGGCTGACCCCACTTGCACATGCGTACAGCAGCCCGCCGAGGGGCTGTTCCGTCGCATTTGATGGCGTTACGGACGAGGATTGCTAGGTTACGGGCGGAGGGGCGGGACAGGAAGTTTCCGTGTTTTGAGGCACCGGCGGCTCTTTGCTGGAGTCTTTGCCGTGTCTGGCTGGTTGTGTGGCTTCTGCGTTCCGGGCTGGCCATGGGGGAGGCGGAGAAGTTCCACTACATCTACAGCTGTGACCTGGACATCAACGTGCAGCTGAAGATGTGAGAGCCACGGCGGGGAGGGAGCGAGGGCGGGGAGGGGGCGAGGGCGGGGAGGGGGCGAGGGCGGGGAGGGGGCGAGGGCGGGGAGGGGCGGGCTGCTGCCCGGGAGAGGGGCTGCTCCCCGGGAGGGGGGCTGGTCCTCGAAGGGAATCTGCAGTAACCCGCACAGAAGTCCCCAGAGGGGCACCGAGCAGTTGGCATTTTCGACTTTTGTGCGACCACTGCTATCTGATTTTACGCAGGAAGAAATCAAATCTTAGGAAACGAGTTTCCCCGCCTCAGAAAGAGGAAGAAGATCTTTCCTTTTAGAGCAGGGCTGGAAGGTGGAATGGGGCATTTGACAGTCGGGACGATGGGCTAACTGAGCACATGGGTGCAGTTTTAACGACGTGCGAAGTGATGAAGACATAGATCGAACCTTTGGGCAGTTTGACGTTTTAAAGGTAGAGAGACCTTGAGAGGGAGTCGGAACCAGAGTCTTTTAGTAAAACCTTGGGGCAGCATGTTTAAAATAAAGGTCAAGAGCATGACATCTTGAAATGAGAACCCTAAAATAGGAAAGAAGAGTTCCCAGAGATGATAACTTCAGAATTGTAGAAATATCTGGATAACTAGGGAAGCTCACTTTTCCAGGCAAGAGCAGTTTTGCTGTGTAATTTACATACTGTCAGAACGTTGACCTATGCCATTTCTTGAGGATAGGGAGACAAATTTGAAGGCTGTTCCTGATGAGAGCCTTCTTGATGGTGAAGACTTCAGATTCCTACATTTTGCATGCTGCTCTTTACCTCTTTTGCTCCTATCTCCTACGTGTCATGTAGTAGGTTTATTTCAGGCACTTGTCTAAGAGAGGCCATGTCAGTTTCTCTTGTGATGGGAAAACAGTTGGCTTTGGACTTCTTGCTCTGGCTCTTTTTCTCAGCTATTAACTTTCCCATCTTGGATAATGAGTTTGATCTCTGAGTTTCTACTTCTTCATTTATAAAATGAGAATGTGGTTTTAAAAAGCACACATCCGAGCTGGGCGGTGGTGGCAGAGCAGGCCTTTAATCCCAGCACTTGGGAGGCAGAGCCAGGCGGATCTCTGTGAGTTCGAGGCCAGCCTGGTCTACAGAGTGAGTTCCAGGAAAGGTGTAAAGCTACACAGAGAAACCCTATCTCGGGAAAAAAAAAAAACCAAACCAAACAACAACAACCAAAACAAAAAAGCACACATCCAATTCCTAGTGTGATTACTAATGTAATATTGATATCCAAGACATAGTATGAAATAGTGAGATAGTATGAGTATATATAGTTTGGAAAAAAATGAATAAAAAATAATACCCAGGTAAAAGTAAGTTTGAAGACAGGTTCTTACCACGTGTCTCTGACTGACCTAGAGCACACTGTGTAGATCTGACTGCTTCTGCCTCCCGAGTGCTAGAATTAAAGGTGTGCACTAGCACACGTGGCTTAACAGTTTGTTGCAATACTGTGCTGTGTATCTTTTTATTTATTTATTTGGTTTTTCGAGACAGGGTTTCTCTGTGTAGCTTTACACCTTTTCTGGAACTCACTCTGTAGCCCAGGCGGGCCTCAAACTCACAGAGATCCGCCTTCCTCTGCCCCCCGAGTGCTGGGATTAAAAGCATGTGCCACCACCGCCGGGCTTATATTTATTTATTTTTATGTGCATTGGTGTTTTGACTGTGTAAGTGTGTCCAGTCCCCTGGAACTGTAGTTACAAACAGTTATGAGCCACCACGTGGGTGCTAGGAATTGAACCTGGGTCCACTGGAAGAACAGTCAGTGTTCTTAACCACTGAGCCATGTCTCCAGCCCATGTATCTTTTCTGATGTTTCTAGTCTATACCTATACATTAAATGTTTGCTAAAAAAATGTGCAAATAAGTTGTCATTTTAAATCAGCAAAATTTTGTTTGTTTGTTTGTTTGTTTTTGAGACAGGATTTCTCTGTGTAGTCCTGGCTGTCCTGGAACTCTGTAGACCAGGCTGGCCTTGAACTCAGAGATACACCCACCTCTGCCCGCCAAGTGCTAGAATCAGTAAAATTAACCTTAAGGCCTGAATCAAGAGTGAGTTTCAGGACTTAAAATGAAACCCAAAGAAGAGAAATCTTTTCATGAAGTTAGAATAAGCTTAGCAGTGTTAGGATTTTCAGAGTTCCTTATCATTTATAAAAGTGACATTACTTTTAGAAACAGGAAGTTATTATGAGATGGCTTATGGTTACTTTAACTGACATAAACTTCTTATCTTTATGTATATTCATGCATGCTTTAGAACTATCCATCTGAAACAGTGTTTGTGCTTTCAGAGGAAGCTTGGAAGGGAAGAGAGAAGAAAAGAGCTACAAAGCTGTCCTGGAAGACCCAATGCTAAAGTTCTCCGGGCTGTACCAAGAGACGTGCTCCGACCTCTATGTGACTTGTCAAGTTTTTGCTGAAGGGAAGCCTCTGGCCTTACCCGTCAGAACATCCTACAAGGCATTTAGTACAAGATGGAAGTAAGTTTTTTTCTTCATTGTTGTTATTTTTTTCATTTACCATGTGAAAGATTATAGACTTCTTCCATAGCCCTATTGATATTCTGAGTAGAGACAGTTAAGCAGGGATCACCAGGAGTTTCTTAACTGTAGTTGACCGTTGAAAGTGTGTATTACACAGGTATAGATAGTTGTGTTGATGTGCTGGTGACTTTGTATTTAATATGTTGACATTTTGCAGAGTAAGTATTTTACTCTTTTACAACATGAACCAGAACACAACCATGTCTGTGGCCTTTAACACAAATACTTTAGATAGTTTGAAATGGCCAACCTATTGTTTGGACTTTAGAAGTAGATCTTATATCATATGCTCAGGTAAGATTTATATACTTTTTTTGTTTTCCAAATGAAACTTTCATTTTACGTTTATAGTTTATTCATGTATTTGCATGGTATGTTAGCAATACATTGTTGGCATGTAGGGCCAGAGTAAGATAACATGAAACTGTTTTTTGGAATAGTACTGTGACTCCTTAATCTAAGGTCCTGATATTTCTTATCTGATAGACTTTATGGGGCGTTTCTAGTGTTTAGTCAGTTTTATTCCACAGTCACATGGGATGACAGATGCATAGGTATTTGCTACTTTTTCTTTTTTCATGCACGTGTAAAGTGTTTTGCCTGTATGTATGTATTTATGCCGTGAAGGAGTGTTGAATTCCCTGGACCTGGAGTTAGAGATAATTGTGAGCTGCCACATGGGTACTGGGAATGGAACCCAGATCCTCTGTAAGAGCAGTAAGCATTCTTGACCACAGAGTTGTCTCTCCAGTTCCAAGTGTGTGCCCATAAGGAATGATCTGTGCTCACAGTGTCCTGGAAGACACACATCATGGCCACATACACAGTCACACAGCTCTGTTGATATACCGGAATCTGGGAAAGGCTTTCCGAGAGAGGAAGTTTAAACATTACTGGTCTGACTCCATCCAAATCAACTGTTTCAGTAGTATAATTTCTCTAGTTCTCTTTTTGGAGTCAAATATGTATAAATATCATATCTATATAGCAAACACATATTTAATACATTTTATTCTGGAAAATTTCAACTATATAAAAATATAGAAAATAATATGGCCAGGCATGGTGATGCATGTCTTTAATCCCAGCACTCAGGAACCTATAGCAGGTGGATCTCTGAATTTGAGGCCAGCCTGGTTTACAAAGTTAGACCCTGACTCAAAAAACAAAAACAAAGCACAACAACAAAAACATTATTATAGTACCATCATTACATCTAAAACAATGGACCAGAGTTCCTCAGTTTAAAATATATTTAGATGTAGAATGTCATTGTCTTTGGTGAATACCACCTTTTTTCCCCATTTCTCTTGCTATGGAAAACTTTTATTTTCTGTTCTCCACACTGCCCAAAAGAACTTAGAACAAAGACAACTTTGCCTCCTCTCATTTGCTAGCGCGTTCATTCTTTGTTTTTGCTATTATATGTTTACAAAGTTGTAAAATTACACAAAAAAAAGAAAAAAGAAAAAACCTTAAAACATTGATCACTGAAAGACAACTGTAGAACATAGATTGAGGAAATATTTAGAGTATGTAACAAGAGACTAGGCATTTTAAAAAAAATAGACTGTTTTCCAGGTAGCCTCCCTGGTGATGTGAGTAGCAGTCCAGTCATCCTTGTTCCACATCTAGTATCCTCCTATGAGTGAGTACATACCATGTTGTCTTTCTGAATCTGGGTTACCTCACTCAGGATGATTTTTTCTAGATCCATCCATTTGTCTGCAAACCTCATGATGTCATTGTTTTTCTCTGCTGAGTAGTATTCCATTGTGTATATGTACCACATTTTGTTTATCCATTCTTCAGTTGAAGGGCATCTAGGTTGTTTCCATGTTCTGACTATTACAAACAATGCTGATATGAACATAGCTGAACAAGTGCTCTTGTGGTGTGGTTGAGCATTCCTCCAAGAAAGACACAGGGATCGCCCAATGACAGAGAAATGGAATGAGATCTACATGAACAGCCTGGACATGAGTGGGGGTAGTGAAGGGCGAGGGTCGAGGGAAAGAGAGCTTGGGGGAGTGGGAGATCCCAGCTGGATCAACAACAGAGAGGGAGAACAAGGAATAGGAGACCATGGTAAATGAAGACCACATGAGAATAGGAAGAAGCAAAGTGCTAGAGAGGCCCACAGAAATCCACAAAGATACCCCCACAACAGACTGCTGGCAATGGTTGAGATACAGCCCGAACTGACCTACTCTGGTGATGGGATGACCAAACACCCTAATTGTCGTGCTAGAAACCTCATCCAACTACTGAGGGATCTGGATGCAGAGATCCATGGCTAGGCCCCGGGTGGATCTCTGGGAGTCCAATTAGCGAGAATGAGGAGGGTTTATATGAGCGAGAATTGTTGAGACCAAGGTTGGATAAAGCACAGGGACAAATAGCCAAACGAATGGAAACACATGAACTATGAACCAATGGCTGAAGGGTCACCAACTGGATCAGGCCCTCTGAATGGGTGAGACAGTTGGTTGGCTTGATCTGTTTGGGAGGCATCCAGGCAGTGGGACCAGGTCCTGTGCTCATTGCATGAGTTGGCTGTTTGAAACCTGGGGCCTATGCAGGATTGTTTGGCTCGGCCTGGGAGGAGGGGACTAGACCTACCTGGACAGAGTCTACCAGGTTGACCTCAGTTTGTGGGGAAGGCTTTGCCCTGGAGGAGATGGGAATGGGTGGGGGGGGTTGGGTGGAAGGTGAGGGGGACGGGAGGGGGGAGAACAAGGGAATCCGTGGCTGATATGTAGAACTGAATTGTATTGCAAAATAAAAAAAAAAATAGACTGAAATAGAGAGAAAACAGATTTTTTGCAGTCTGCTATTGGTATTTGAAAGGTGAATTTATTGCCAAACTCACCAAAATAAAAACGATGAATAAACATTTTCTACTTCCATTGTCCTATATAAGTAGTTCCCTACCAGAAGTGGTCTATAAACTGGGAGAAAAAGTTATTTTGTAAAAGAACCTCTTACTACTTGAATTGCTGCATTTCCTTGGTTTAGTTAATATTTTTCGGGGCATACTAAGGTTCTGCATTACATAAATGTCTGATTGACTTGTGTGAGTTCTCATAATAAGGAATTCACCCAGAATGTTTCCAAGTCTATCTCAATGCATCCTCCCCTGTCATGTCCTACAGTAAGCTCTCCTAAAGAAGGAGGACATGGCCCAGTGAGTAAAGGCTCGTCCATCAACCCTGACAACCGGAGTTTGTCCCTGGACTCTACATTTTGGAAAGAGAGAACCTTCTCTTGAAAGTTTTCTCTGACCTTAATCACAGTTAATGCTGATCTTCAAGGTTTCATTTTTAGTTTTCTGTAATTCAAATTAAGAGATTTGTTATTGTTACTGTTATTAGGATTGTTCTTTAGGCAGGTTTCTTTCTTCCATTCTTTCTTCCCTTTCTCCTCCCCCCTCCCTTTCCCTATACAAAACTGTGGCTTGAACTCACAACTTTTTGCATGCTAGGTAGATACTCCGACACTGAGGTACAACCCCAGCTCCTTAAAGTTTTTAAAATTATTTCGATTTTATCCTGTTCTCTAAAACATATGAAACAGAGACAAAGAAAGAGAGTGAAAGAGCAAGCGAGAGGTGGGAGGAGAGATTAACAGATTAACAGGTTGGTATTAATTTAACAATTTCTATTTCAAAGTATATTCATCTCTGGAGAATAGTCCAGTGGGGGTCATGATGGGATTGCAATGTCCAGATTAAGGTTTTGTAATCTGGACAAGGATTATTAGGGATTGGACTAGTTCTGGTGGATGGGGAATAAGATGACACAGTGATGTTGAGAACACACAGCCTTTTGATGTTTGCATAGATCCTTTTATAGGATTTGCAATGTTTAGATTAGCTCTTACATGTGTTAGCTGGAAGACCACTTTCCTCTACAACTTGAGCTGCAAAAACCCAGCCTGTAAAACATTGAATTGAAGTTACTTTGATTTAAAGAGATCTTGGGGCCAGGAGTTAGATAGAGGAATATTTGAGGGAAGGACCACTTGATCAAGGTACTGTCTCCCAGAATTTAAAGGGTAGACAAAGAGACGAGAGATTCCACAGATGAATTTGGATATTGACACTAGTTTTTCTCTTTAGCTTTACCTCGTGGTAATTGTTTCCATGTCAGTCAGCTGCTGTGGTTTCTTCATCCACAGTTGATAACACTGTTCAGTACTTCTTTTTAAGTCTGCTCTGCCATGTGAGTAGTAATTAACTTAGTTGCTTATACTCATCTGTAGAGATAATGATGCTCTTAAATGTGCAATTTGGTTGGTTTTTTTTTTTTTTTAAGAACTTTATATGAAAAAAAGATTTGGTGATGTTTTGCTTCTAATCAGAATTGATGGATATCTCTAATTTTCTTGGAATTTCAAAATTTATGGTTGACCATAAGTACTTTTGTTAAGTCTTTGAAACTTTTGTTGTGTCTCACTGATGATACGTGTGTATTTGATCTAAGATAAGCTGCTTTCAGAGTAATTGTGAATGAATAGAGTTCTGTCTGCTTTCTTGTTATTCATGTTATTTGGGATTCTTTTGGGATTTTTAAAAGCCATCTGCTTACGGTAGTGGCAATTATCAAATGAATCCATTTTAAATGCTGAAGAATATTTACAAAGATGAGTATAGAGTAAGAAATTGCTAGTTCTTTCTGTATTATTAACAAACACATTAACAAGTTAGCATTTGCAGGCATTCTTAGGAAGCATAGAATGCTAATAGCTAAGTGTCAGTCAAATAAGTCGAGGAACAGTGATCAAAATATAGTGTGAAAATCTTTAATAAGAAAGAACTTAATGAGAAAGAACATATGTGCAAGTTGGTAAAGTCAGCTTTGGCTTGGTGAGGTTTTGGTTATTTTGGGTTGTCTTATTACCTTCAGGAATGCTTTAACATACCATGACTGATTATTTTATAATTGCAATATGATTTGGTTGTTTTCATAATGTAAAATTGTGTTCTAGAGAATTATTAAAGAAAATGACAGCTTGGTTTAAAAATTTTAACATACTGAAACATGTTTCCAGATTTGATTATTTATCTTTACTTTTCTGTTCTATTTCCATACATCTTAGTGATGTAACTTTTTCTTTTTCTCTGCTTTTTTGGGGGGGTGGGTGGGAGAGATGGATGTAGCTGAATTTTTATGCAGTCTTATTAAATAAAGAACTTGGAGCCAAATATAGGAATGAAAGCCTTAGAGATCAGGGAAATAGTGAGAGCCACCAACCGCCTTACCTCACCAGCTCTGTAGCTTCCAAAATGCGAGCTACTTCCTGTCTAACCTACGCCTTTATTGCCTTGCTATTCTGCCCTCTCATTGGCTCTTAGCCCAGCTACCTCACTTCTTTGTCATTGCCTGTCTGTACAGACCTCCATGTCTCTGTAGTTTGTATTGGGATTAAAGGCTCGTGTCACCATGGTTGGCTGTTCCCTAGTGTGTCCTTGGACACACAGAGACCCTGCCTGTCAAGTGATCTGATTAAGGGAGTGTGCTACCACTGCCTGACTTTTGTGTTAATGACCTGCTATTTCCTCTGATATCCAGGCAAACTTTATTTTTTAACATACAAATAAAATATCACCACAGATGCCTTTCACTTTGTAGCTTGGGCTGGACTCAACCTCACAAATCTCTTTAGGCTGGTCTTGAACTAACAATAATAATCCTTCTCCCTCATGCTGAATTCTGGGATTATAGGCATATGTCACACAGCTCAGCTTGAGTGTTCTGATTAAATGTCTTGATATAACAGTGCTATTTTTCAGGAGCTATATTCAAAATTTATGTGCGTATATTTGAACAAGCAAAAGTGAGGGGATTTCCACATTATTTTTTAGCATACAGACCTAATCTTTTTGGAGTCTTCTCATCTGGCTGAACCATCTTTTATTGGTTAATTTGAAATAAAGATACATATTTATTCTCTTGACTTTGTTTCCATAGTTGGAATGAATGGCTAAAACTCCCTGTGAAATACCCTGACCTGCCCAGGAATGCCCAAGTAGCCTTGACTATATGGGATGTGTATGGACCAGGAAAGGCTGTGCCAGTAGGAGGAACAACTGTGTCGCTCTTTGGAAAATATGGGTAAGCATTCTGCCCACTGGTCCACAGAGGGCTGTTTCTTGTTCTTTCCTAGAGAAGTTTGATTGGTTATGCAGTCTGGTTTTCTCTATGAAAACCAGCTAGGTACACAGGCCTACATTTCTGAGATTGGCCCTGAAGTGGATTTCCTACAGGATATGCTGTATTAATTACTCTTCTCACCACTAAATCAGTGACAAAATTCCCAACAAAGGCCACTTAAGGGATGACAAGTTTGAGGGTCCAGTCCATCATGGTGGGGAAGGCGTGGCTGGAGGAGTGTGAAGCAGCTGGTCCCATTACACCTGCAGTCAGAAACACAGAGAGATGGAAGCTGATGATCAGTTTCCTCTGCTCGTGTAGTCTGGGGTACCAGCTTGTAGAATATTGCTGCCTACATTAGGGTGGGTCGCCTGAGTTAACCCAATCTAGACACTGCCTCATAGACATGCCCCAAAATTTGTCTCCTAGGAGGTTCTGCATCCTACAGATTTTATAGGCAGAAGTAACCATCACAGCAGCTAAAGGAACCAAGAAACACAATTTGTATTACTCTACTGTTAAGTGAATGCTACTGTCATTTCTATTAGAATGGAGTCATTGTGAGTGAGAACTCAGGGTCCAGATCTGGAAACTGAAAGATGTAGTGCCTTTCAGTGGAAAGTCCTAGTGACTTCAACTGTCTGGCTGTTACCAGATGCTTTGATTTTTGTCCAATTTAAAGTTTAAAAATATTAACTTGCACATCAATAAATATACCTGAGAATTATCTTAATAGGTTTCTTGACTATGTTCTATAAATTGCTTTAATATCTTTTGCCCATTTAAAAAAAAATACAGTTATTCACACAAGTAGTGCCTTTTTTGATGTTGTTGAGACAGGATTTGACTGTATAGCCCTGACTGGCCTAGAACTCACTCTATAAATTAATCTGGACTTGAAGTCACAAAGATCTGCCTGCCTCTGCCTCTTGAATTCTAGGATTTAAAGGCATGAACCACCGCGCCAAGCTAAAAGTGCCTTCTTTCTAATTGTTATTTTCTTAGTGATGTGTGAGGAGTCTTTGAACATGGAGGAAATTGGTCATTTGTGTTCTGTGTTAACAGTTACTTTAAAAACACTAGTATTTCTTTTGGTTTATTTTCTGAGATATATATTTACTAGATTGAATTTTTGGAAGCCTTTCTTCCATTACACTTTTATTCCTTTATATTTAAATCTGTAATTGATCTAAGCTTTTATGAACAGGGTGATGCATTATGAATTGACTTTAACAACAGAAGCCCAAATCTGTATACATTTGTCTCAATTCTTTTACATAAGCCATCATCTATGACAATTTTAAAAATCCACCTTTATATCTGAATCTAAGAAAAGCAGTAGTAGGGTGTGTGAGGGAGGGAGGTTGTAGAGGTGGTCACCCAGCTTTAGATGCTGTTTCTTCAGTATCTGGTCTCCTGGGGCAAGTTAGTGAATAGCCTTATGCCTCAGTTTCTTCACCTATAAAATGAAATAATATGTCCACTTCATCATTTAAGGTGATTATCTAAATAACATTTAATGAGCCTAGCAAATATTTTATTTTTAAATGTTTTATTTATCAATAGTACATGTGTTGGTTAGTTGAGTAATGATTGATGTGGAAGGACCCAGCTCATTGTGGGTCGTGCCAGCCCAGGGCAGGTGAGCCTGAGTTGTGTAAGAAAGCAGAACGAGCAAGTCAGGAGGAGCAAGCAGGTAAGCAGCCTTCTTCCTTCATGGCTTCTGCTGGGTGGAGAGGCTTAATTTGGTATGGGATGGACCTGGAAGTTATGGGCAGGCTAGGAGGGTCTTACAGAAGCCTAGAGATGGCTAAAGAATGCAGGGACACTGGATGTTTGGCTTGGGATAGATCTGGGGCCTAGGGAGGGTACATGGAAGAGAGGATTAGGCAGACTCACAGGCCTAGACCCAGGCAAAGCATGTCTGCAATTCTTTGTATAACTCATTGAGTGAAATTTCTTTTGCCTCCTATCCAAAGGGAGTGGAAAATGTGCCCGAAAGACAAATTAAGTCACAAGGTTCTCCATAAAGTTAGTAGTAATAATTAGGAGTTCGATTTGTTTTCTTGACATGAGCTAGGATTCTAAATTTTAGAAATCTGTTCATGCTATTTATCCACGTCCTGTGCCGCCACAGGTGTGGGATTTTGGGGCAACAGTGCTTTAGGACATCGTTTTCTGAGATGTTTCTTTAGCAGTAAAATGTCACCAGTGGCCTCTTCTTCTGAAGGACCCTGGCACACACTTAGTAAATTAGCCTGTAAAAGTGGCCCTTAAAGCTTTTAGTGGAAGGTGGCACAGTGACTACCAACTTGAGCTCTTTGCCAACATCTGTTTGGTATATGTGAGTCAGTAAGGGGGAACGTTTTAGCCAGTGCTAATAAATAATTTAAAGACTGATCTTTTACTATAGTTCTGCTAAAGCAAACCGTCTTTAACTTGAACATCTAGCTTCAGAGATTTCTAAGTAGCTTAAGAGCAGATTGGTTATTACTTAGATTAGTAGAAGCACAGGCAAACTGCAAATGCTGTGCAGGTGTGTGCGAATTCTGAAGTCATGGCAGTGGCTGCTACGGTGGCATGGCCCTGCCAGCTAGAGCTGCATCGGCAGCTGTTACCGAGCCTCTGATGGAGCTGAAGAAGGACCTGCTGTGCCATTGCCCTGTCTCGTCTGTTTGGCTTAATTTCCCAAGGGGACACAAGGCCGCACACGTCTTCTGCCTCTCCACCTGGGAGCTGTGTAATTTTAGGCAAGTTTCCATTAGTGTCCAAAGCAAGTGGTGTGATCACGTCCTCATCAGCAGTACTCAGCATACCCCTCCCCAGCACCCCATTTTAAACTCTTTTCTAGATCTATCCCAAGGTGCCTGAATCATTTATTAGACTGTCTTCCTGCCAGATGTGCTTTTTGTCTTTAGTAAATTCAGCCAGAGTATCCACTGAGGAGTGGAGTGGCAGAGAGAAGGAAGGGATGCTGTGTGCTGTTTCTGAAGGTGCGTGTGAGGGGCCTCACTTTTAAGAGGGCTCAGTTACATCACTGCAGCCAGTTCCTCGGAGCCTGCCTTAAGGTTGTTCTGCGTTTTGTTTCGTTTGAGACAAGGTCTCATTCAATTGCCTGTGTTAATCTAGAACCTGTGATCCTCCTGCCTCTATCTGATCTGTTTGATATTAAAAGAGAAAGAAATTTAACTTTATAAGAGGCTGTGTTTATGTGTTTTTGTAATAACTTAGGAAAATCTTCAATATACTATTTTTTTTTAATTTTTTTAAATTTTTTTCAGTTTTTCGAGACAGGGTTTCTCAGTGTAGCTTTGTGCCTTTCCTGGAACTCACTCTGTAGACCAGGCTGGCTTCGAACTCACAAAGATCTGCCTGGCTCTGCCTCCCGAGTGCTGGGATTAAAGGCGTGCACCGCCACTGCCCGGGTATACTATTTTTATTAATGAGAAAACTGGTGTATACTAAGGAGTCAACATTATTTATTCATGGTCACAGCCACACATGCCATAGCTGGTACAGTTGTTACCCAAACCCAGGCAGGCTTACAGAAAAATTATGTACCTTAGCAGTTTTCATTTCCATCCTGTAAATGTGATAATGTTCTCTTGGCTAGAAATTTCGTATCTGCTATTCTAAGATGTCTGCTGAAGTGGTCGGTGAGTGCTGTCCTCTAAGCATGGCTGACACCATTTTCATCAGAACAACTGTGAACACTTGCAGAGAGAGATCCCCTTTGATTGGTCTTGTTGACTTGCCACTCTTCAGAGAAGGAGGGTGTAGGGAGAGTCACTGGACCCATACCTGGGATTCACATTGTTCCCTCATGCATCTTCCAGCCATTTGTATGCATTTCTGCCCCGACTAAATGCACCTGCATTGTATCAGGAGGTGTTAGTTTATGTAGACTGTGGAAGGCTAACTGAAGTGAGGCTGCATTAGCGTGACCATGTGCAAGTATGTTCTGGAATGAGACTGGCCCATATCTAACTGCCTGTGGTCACTTATGTTCCTGTAAGTAATTGCTCGCTTATGCTCTGGATTTTACCTTGGTTTGCCACTGAACCATATAAGAAAGAGGTACACATTTGCTTAAGTCTGCCCAGGAATGAGTTCCCTTAACACTGATAACATATGCATTGGGTTTAGATCATTTCTATAGACTACTCTCATTTTCTGATTATCTGAGGGAGAAAGAGTGGCCTGAGGAGAGATTTGTGGATTTTAGCAGCTCAGCTCAGTGCTGCACAAACCATGGGGGACTCGGAGCCTGGCAAGCTTGACACATTTCTTTATGATGAGCTGCCTAAGTTACTTCTTACTCTGAACTTTTGTCCTTATAGCATGTTTCGCCAAGGAATGCATGACTTGAAAGTCTGGCCTAACGTGGAGGCAGATGGCTCTGAACCCACAAGAACTCCTGGCAGAACAAGCAGCACACTCTCAGAAGATCAGATGAGCCGCCTTGCCAAGGTACACAGGCTTCTGAGACAGAGAGAACTCTGACTGGTGCGAATCAGTGGACCTTGACATTGGGAATCCTGTCAGTTGTCTTCTCAGTTTAAATTAAACTTCAGTGACAGTTTTGAGATATGATTCATGTACCTTCACTCTTGAAAGGTGTATGATCCATATCCTTGTATTTATCCTAGCTGTCTGACTTCAGGACATTTTCACCTCCAAAAGCTCCATGTACTTGAGAGTCACTCCTCATTCCATCCCGCCCTGCTTCCTGATGGCTGCTGGTCCACTTTCTGTCTGTGGACTTCTGCACCCTTTGTCTGGACTTGCTTCAGATGTGGAAGTGTAGGTCTCTAGTATTTTCGTTATCATGTCTGTTTTCTATATTGTTCTTTTAAGTGAGAAGGGTAGCATAGCTCCCTAATAGGTATGCTTACTAGTACAGTCTTTCAGCTTCCTTTCTCTCTTTCCAAACGAATAAAACTGAAGATGTATTTCAGCTGCTCATTTCCAGGTCTTGCCTGTCTTCTTCCTGGGTGTGTAGGACAGTTCACAAGCGTCTCTTATGTCTGCCCTCTCGCTAAGAGTTTATCAGCAGCGAACTTTGATTTGGCTACTTTCCATGACTTATACATAGACATTTTATTAGAATCATCTCATATATACTCTGTGGGCTACTAAAATTTGAAAGATTTGGTTTTTCAGTGTTTCAAGGCTTGCTACCAAAGGATAATGGGACTGTGAAATGAAGACCAACCATTAAATAGCCCATGAAAAGATGGTGTTAGGTAATTATTAAACAAAGATTGTCAACTCCAAGCTGGAATAATGGTTTTACTCCGATTTGTTGCTTAACTATGGAAGTTAAATTCTAGCTACAATATGAATAATTAGCATTTGAAAGCCCACTTTCTAAGTTTGACTTTTTAAAAAGTCCTAGTAATTTTAATGGAATAAATCTCTCTGATGATTCAGACTGTTTTATAAATCTGCCTAATTTTTCTTTGAGGAAAAATGGCTCTGAGACAGAAGTTATGCTGTATAGTGCTCAGCTTAGGTCTTGTTTTTTTATAATTTGGATATCCTAGAGTTTTAATAGGGAACAGAAAAAAATGTATGTATTAAAATATGCAACTCCCTACATCTTTCCATCTCTAAACTTTTATAATTAGTGCTAATTTCTGTTTCAATGGACTTGTGAACATAGTAAGAGACCAGACTTGAGGTCTGTCTGTTAACTTTCAGAGTCCGGACCAGCCTCTTGGTAGTGATGGACCAGTGTGTACACTGTTCCCTTCAACTCTATTTTTCAGCTTGTCATACTGTAAGAATTTTATGATAGGATGCATATCCTCCTGGGGCTTTGGATGTGACCACTGGTCTCTGGCGTTTGATTTATACTAAGTCTGTGTCTTTGGACTTGAAAGGTTAGTGCAGAAGCATGCTTTCTCACTGTCTCCTTCTCATTTTAGCAGCTCTGCGTGATGCTTTCGCAGTGTGCTTTCCTTCCTGTCAGTTTGATTAAGAGGAGGCAAAGGGAAAGTAACAAGGAGATGACAAATGTTTCGTGGTCTGTGTGGAGATAGTCGGGAGTGTGGGGAACTGCACACTCCAGCAGTGAAGAGAGGAACCAGGGAACTTCACAGAGCTCCATCTGGTCACTGTGGGGTGGGGTCTGGACCTCAGGCTTATTGCAGCAGGAGCCAGAGGACAAAAGGTGGACGTGATACACAGAAACAGGACAAACAAATACCACACTTATCCTGCTGCCTAGATTGGGTTGCAGTTTGTGGGGGGAGTACTCATTTTCTTAAATGCTGTTTATACTTAACTGTAGTACTACACTGCACATGCTCTTCACATTAACATGGCAGTTTATAAAAACTGAATGGAAGGCATTCTGCCTTCAATCAAGCTATTCAATTATAATCTAAGTCATTAAGAGAAAATACAATAGAAAAATGATAGTTGAAAGTATGAACTGTCTAAGTAAGTGAAGACCCAATGAAGTACAGACATTTCTTACAAAAAATACACATTTTTAAGGAAAGCATAGACATAGAGAAGAACCAATTGAAAGTCCTTTTAGGGAGTTAGTCTTAACCGAGAAACAGTTGAGACTTGACAGCATACAGTAATGAACACACCACAGATACTGTCTTTGCCTTAAAGTAGGAACACCCCTGTTCACATATTTGGGCTTTAGTCATGGACTTTAGTCATGATGAACAATCACAACTTCTGTTTTTTAAATGCTTTTCTTACAGAGAAAGAGAATTATTGACTGATTAGAGTTCACAGAGAAACTCATTACTGTACAAATGGGAAAAATATACTCCTGGCCATAACACTGGATTGGGTGAAAGAGTCTCATGTTGTCTCATTTACCCCTCTAGATGTTTTTAAAGTGACAGTAATTAAAAAATTAGAATTATGATGATTACTGTTGTGATTTGAATGAGAATAGCCCCCATAGTCTCATATATTTGAATACATGGTCCCCAGGTGATGGGACTGTTTGAGAAAGGAGTAGGAAGTGTGGCCTTGTTGGAGGAGATGTGTCACTGGGGGTAGGCAGGTTTAGAGATTTCAAAAGCCCACACCATTCCCAGTTAGCTCTCTCTGACTCCTACCTGCAGACCAAATTGTGACCTCTCGGGTGTTCTGCAGCCACGGTTTTGCTCCACCATCGTGGACTCTGACCCTCTGAAACTGTAAGCCCCTAAGTAAGTGCTTTCTTGTGTAAATTGCCTTGTTCATTTTGTTTTAGGATGGCATAGAAAAGTAACTAGGGCAGTTGCTGAAATTACTCAGGGTTATCAGGCTTGTTCAATGGTACCAGTGACATTACCTAAAATAGCATAAAGAATAATTTTTGCTCTGGATGACATACCTTTTATAAACAGCTTGTTTGGTTCGATTACGTCTCGCCATTGTTTTGTGTTACAGCCAGGGTTTGGGAATCCCTTGTCAATTATTTCCTGATTTTGCTGAGTGGCATCTTCTCAATTATTCACTTGGCTTACTTGCAGTTCTCCAGTACTGTCAAAGCCTTTAGACTCGGCTTAAAACAAGTGGCACTGAGTAGACTCTGTTTTAATGGCAGTGTGATATTGATCCCTAAAACATTACTGATTGATGTTCTGAAAAATCTATTCTCTATTTTTACAGCTATAGTTTCTGCCTGAGGAAAAGAAAGTAACATGCTTTTAAAACTAGATTAATCTCCAAGAAGTTTAAATGAAACTTTTATATAGCAAATACTAGTCTTCCTGAATAATGAGACTTAATGAGTAATGTTTAAAAGTAAAATTGGAGAATTGTGGACAAGATTTCATTAATCCAGAAGATAGAAAAACAGATAAAACTCCTTTGCTTGCTAAGAATTAAATATATAGGCAAAGGCAGACTCGGACATGCACATATGTGTTCTCACAGTTCCTTTAAGTCTTAGTTGTTCAGATGAATTTTATATATGGCTATATTATGTCTTAGTTACAGATTATTTCATAGCTTATGTTGGATTTTGATATAGATAGGACTTACTATTTTTGTTTATTTCAGAGATACATCTTTAAATAATAGAAATCTGTGAGACAGCCACAGTCTGTCTGTCTGACTGACTGTCTTGCATGCCCCTGACACATATATTAGGGCCACGAATAAAACTTTTTGTCAGTATTTAGTTACATCAGTTTGTCCCAGGCTTAAGAACAGTGTTAGGCCAGGAACAATGGTACATGACTTTAATACCAGCACTGGGGAGACAGAGGCAGGCGGACGGACTGAGTTCAAGGCCAGCCTGGTCTCTATAGTAAGTTCTGGGTTAGTCAGTCAAACAAACAGTCAGCACAAAATAGAGCAAAAAGGAAAAGAAGAAAAGAAAGCAAGGTACTAGAGTGAAAGAGTCAAGTAATGACCGTTTTTTCCCTCTTTTTCTTTCTTTCTTTTTTTCTTGGTTTTTTGAGACAGGGTTTCTCTGTGTAGCTTTGGTGCCTGTCCTGGATCTCACTCTGTAGACCAGGCTGGCCTCGAACTCACAGAGACCCGCCTGGCTCTGTCTCCCGAGCACTGGGATTAAAGGCACGCACCACCGCTGCCTGGCAAATAACGACCTTTTAACTTGAGGGAGTGTAGAGTAAAACAGCAGAAATTTGCAGGAGTACACCTGATAGGATTATGCTGAAAAAGTCCTGCCTATGGTACAAAGCAGTGGGGACTGGCCAGCATGGCTGTATTCACAGAGGTTCTGGGAATCTGAAGCTTTTGTCTGCTGAAAAACAATTTCGTTTTATTTATTTACGTGACAGAGGAAAGAGGCAAAACAAAACAAATGCCTGATTTTAATTACCTGTGGAGCCATGTGAACAGTTTTTTGATGGGGATTTGGCGAGCTGGTGAAATAATAATTAGCACTGTAAACCGGAAAGGAAGAAAACCGGTTTATATACTGTACCGCACGGTGGTGTCAGAAGTACCATCTGACTGTGGCGATGGGTCATGGGGTTTCCATTTTGGAGTAGATCTTACATCATGGCAAACCTCTTTGCAGTTTTCAGGCATGTAATTGTCACTGTGAAAATGAGGGCAGTCCTGGTCGGGACACGTTCCTTTCTGGTGGTTGGTGTGAGCCACTGTGCACGAATCTTGTCAGGCACTTTCTGTGTGTGTGTTTGAGGGCAGCTGTGGGACCTGGCTGAGGCCAATTTTGTTTGATCGTCCAATCCTGCTGCTCTGCTCTTTGGACAGAATAAAGCTTTTTTTCCCCTCCATCTTCCTGTTAAATGTTTTTATTACTTTATTCATTTATATGAATTATTATTATCATTATTACTATTAATTTTTTTTTTTTTTGGTTTTTTCGAGACAGGGTTTCTCTGTGTAGCTTTGAAACTTTCCTGGAACTCACTTGGTAGCCCAGGCTGGCCTCAAACTCACAGAGATCCACCTGGCTCTGCCTCCCGAGTGCTGGGATTAAAAGCGTGTGCCGCCACCGCCCGGCATGAATTATTATATCACTCCCTTCTTCGACTTCTAAGTCAGAAAAGGTCCTGGGCAGAGATCAAAAGTTTGCAAATATTTATTGTCCGTCCTGTTTGTCATCCTTCTACTTAGTTCTTCTCACTCAGTGATATAAGTAAGTGATATAAAGTACGAGGCTCTGCCAGATTCATGGCTTCAGCACTTGAGCTGCTTCCAGCAGGCCTGGCAGACAGGGAGCTGCTCTGTTTCCAGGGTCCGCTGTTTGACAGGCCCTTCCCCACTGCTCCTGGTCTGGAGGTGGTGGCAAGCTGGGCCGCTCTAGTCCCTGTCCTTTGCACTTTTATCAGCACCCACTGACCTGTGATCTTGTACTTGAGCATGATATCTTCCATGATATCCGATAATGTGTGATTAGAAATCCAAGGAGTTTCCTGGCCATGTTGCTGTTGTATTGATTCTAGTCAATTCTTTTATTTAAATAGCCTTGACAACTCCTTTCCGTTTAGTTCTGGATGAAGTTAGGGCATAATAATTATTCCATTATTTGGGGGACACTGACCTTCCAACTCTGTCTGGCTTCTTGTGACTCCTTTAGAATCCCCCATATGTGACAGAGTGACACTTGCTGACTCTTCCTAGAATGGATACCTAACAAGGATGATTACTTCACAGGCATTTTTTTAGTAGATGGATTTCTCACCCTGCTGCTTAGCAGGGTGCAGATCTTGTTGGAAAGATGTAGGTCACTGACATTTCAGACTCAGAATGAAACGGAAATTTATCCCAGGAGCACATACAAGTTGCCTACACTCTCCTTTGTTGAAGTCCCTTTTGATCCTCAGCATCGGTAGAAATGGAGGTAACTAGCTGAGACTGGAGGACTACTCTTGTTTGGATGTTGTTATCATCACCAACAAGCGATGCCTAACACGGGGCTCTGAGGAGCTGCTTTCAATGTGCATAATGGTTATAGTTGTGTAAATCTGATACATGTTAATGCAAAGTAACATTTAATTATTAATTATTATTTCATGGTCCTTGAGCCTTGCCTAAAATAAAAGCCATTACGGTTTGAAGATCTAAAAGGAACTTTGGGAGCTGAAGCATATTGAACTTGTTGTGTTGAATTTGGATGAATTATTTAGAAGAGTTTCCCACCAAGCCCACACCATTCCCACCATGGTGTATAACTTCAGAGAAGCCATTCCAGATGATCCGGCTCCAGCTACATGTCTCTCAAGACAGTAGCTTCTTCAGAAACCATGGGAAATAATGAAGTGAATACTGTAAGCCTCTAACTGGACATGCTTTATATTGATAGGTAAATAGGGTAAATGTCTGGAAGACATTTTCAGTAGTAACTGTTTGGTTCTGCAGAACTTCTGTAACTAAGTTGAGAAATACCTAGAATTTCTGTAAATATCAAGGTGTAATGTAGGAGTGATTTAACAGTCAACATAACATATGTAAATGGCTCTTGATTTTCCACTCACATTTGAATTCTTCATTATTTTCCTCTGTTGAGACATACAGACATTACTTACTGTTTCTGATTGCAGCATTTTAGAGTGTATGTGCTCCTGTCACTTACTGAACAGCTCCCGCAATTGAACTCTGAAAGATAATTTATACTTGACCTTTGTGGTGGCTTTACCAAATTTAGTATTCCTTCTGTGACAGCTGTTTAGAAGACTGAGAAAGGTCATATTTGGTATAAAGCTAAGAAGAAAAGAACACCTAGCATGTGCAGGGAGTAACATGTATTACCAGTGGCATAGATTCGGCTGGTACAAATGGCTACAGAAAGTTCCCGATGTATCTGGATATGCATAATGAAGAAGGAAACCTCACTTCATTTTCCACCAGAAACAACTCACTATTGCCGGTGCTTTCCTCAGAGCAGATCATTGTGGGGACCAACTGTTGGATCATAAACACAGAACTGATGTTTAGTGAATAACAGAAACCAGAGGAGCAGAAATTGTGTAATAACTGTGTACCCACAGAGAGTGGACAGCAAAGACAGGCAGGTGAGAAGCGACTGAGTCTCACCCACATCATTCCAAACTGGCTTTGACAGTAGAAAACACAAAAGTTATCTAACTTTTTTTGTTTCTGTGAGCAGACAGTACCAGTAAGGGTTTATGTAATATAAAGAAACAACAACACATATATCAGCCTTTAGTACCTGTATGGGATGGTACCACTGTCATGTTTTGCATCTTCCTGCATGTTAGGGCACAGATAGAAAAGAATACTTTTTATTGACATGGGCTCAAAAGTGACAGAGTTTAAAAAGAGTTTGTCAGTGTTGGAGCGAGGCATCCAGCTTGCAGTGTGACCCTCTCCTGTAAGCCACACTGCTTGGTCTTTGGTCCTTATGACTGCTTCTTGTTCTCGCCTTTGTAGTTCACACATCCGTCTGATGTTCTACCAGAGCCAACAGAGTATCTAGCCCTTGCTGTATGCGAGTCATTACACTATTCACTCACCGGTGGTGTTGTGCTTTTATTAATTGTTTAAGTTAGCATAAACACCACGTGCTTCAAGGCAGCATCTCTGTACGTTGTGTTGTACTCTATTCTTACCCTGCCCTTTCACGTCCTACCTCTGATCTGTTAATCTCCTTCCTTCTTCCAAATAGTCCCATTTGCTGTCAGGTCCCACGTGTTCCATTATCCTCCCCTTTGTCCTCTCCCTTCTTAAAGATCTCTTCCTAGTTTCAGTCCATTTATTACTTTCATGTTTTACACACACACACACACACACACACACACACACACACACACACACACACACACAGCACACAAATTCACATCTAGATTCAGCCTATGAGAAAATATGCAGTATTTATCTGAATCTGTCATATTTCATGTAAGATAATGGTCTTTGTTCCATCATTGTCTCTCAGGTGTGATTTCATTCTTTATGGCTGAATAAAATTCCTGTGTGTGTATGGTGTATGTGCACATCACATTTTCTTTATCCATTCATCCTTAATGGACTTCTAGACTGCTTCCATTTCTTTATAAACATGAGTAGTAGTTACTAAGATCTCTATATCTGTTTTCATTTAGAGGTTACCATGGGAGAAAAGGTACTGTTTGCTAGTCAAAAGAAAGTTGATTGTTTCCTAATTAGTACTTTTGTATTACAATGGACCTCAAACTTTTTTAAAAAGGTTTTATTACATATGTGTGAGTGTTTTGCCTGCGTATATGTAAGTGCACTACTTGTGGGCCTCCAGCTCACAGAGACCAGAAGTATAGTTACTGGTGATAGTCACTATGTGGGTGCTGGGAATGGAACCCTGGTCTTCTGCAATAACTTCAAATGTTCTTAACCGTGGAACCAACTCTCTAGTCCCTGAACCTCCAACAGTTTACATAAGGTTGTCACTCTGAAATGCTGTGAGCTCATAGTTGTGGTGGTGTCAAGGAAGATGAAGAATACTAGCGCTTATGGCTTTCAGTTGTGAGTGAGGTCATAATTAATGGTACTGTTTGATGTCTTTATGGGAATACTGCCATGACATGGACAGTGAGGAGTAAATCGATGAACTAAGGGAAGTGGTGATAGAAGGTTTGGATGCCCAGTTTTGCTTCATTCTGTGAATTTGTTGAGAAAGTTTTGATATATAAATAAGGCTGGCGTTTAAAATTTATGGAGTCAATACCAAAGCTAGTTCTAATCTGAGGACCTTGTAGCTTATCTTGACTTCTCTATGAATCTTAAAAGCCACTATGATATAATTTATGAAACTAGGGCAAGACAGTGTGGAAGACCTCAGTGCACTCAAACATGGGCAGTGTGAGAATTTTAAATCCTTTATTGTTGTTTCCTAAAATAAAGGCACACATGCATGTGTGTGTACTTAATTCTTAGAATAATGATTTATTGGTCCCCAAGAATTGCCCGTGTATAGCTCATTTTTTCAGAATATTTGTTACATTATAAATGAGAAGAATAGAGAAAAGGTGGTTTATTTTCCCTTAGAGGATCTTTTATTATAATTTCATGTATGATAATCAAACTATAAGAGCTATAGAACATCTAGATAACATTCAGGTAGGACTATGTTCTTCTCTTGGTTAGTAACCATGGCAAGATTGCAGGCTTGATTTTAAAGACTTACTTTTAATACTTTTTTTCATTTTCAGAGAAAGGTTTGTCTCTTACCTAGTTTCTTATTCTGATATTGTATGTGGTTTTGATACATGAAAGTGGTTTGTATGTGGGAATCTGAGGTGCAGGAATGGTTCACGTGTGGAATCTGATGTTCTAATGCATGGATTTATGCATAGTTTGTAATGTGTAGGAGAGCTTCATGCATGTAATCTGATGTATAGGAACACTTATATGTGGAATTGGATGTATAGAAGGGCTTCTTATGTGAAATTGACAGTACAGGCTCAGGATTCTTCATCTTAGATCTTTGAGCCCAAGTGTTTTGAAGTTTGGATCATTTCAGATTTTGAAGTATTTGTACATACTTGATAAGAGTATCTTCAGTGTAGGCCCCAAATATAAGCATAAAATTCACCTATTGTAATCTACATTATATTGTCTTAAGTGGTTTGAGAATTATTTTTAATGTACTGTATACAGTGACCAATCCTATGAGGCCGATGTGGAGTTTTCCACTGGGACCTCCTAAATTGCTTTGGGTTTTGTAGTATTATATATTCTTGATTTTCAGGTCAGGGTTGAGTGATTAGTTGCCATCCTTCATCTTCCTTTTTGTTTGATCTGTGTTGAGATTCACCCTGTTGTATTTTCTGCAGCTTACTAAGGCTCATCGGCAAGGACACATGGTCAAAGTGGATTGGTTGGACAGATTAACATTTAGAGAGATAGAAATGATAAATGAGGTGAGTTGTTTTCTTTCCTATGTCAGAGTATATTCTGTAGATTACTAAATTAATAATTTTTTCTCTGTGTAGCTTTGCACCTTTCCTGGATCTAGCTCTGTAGACCAGGCTGGCCTCGAACTCACAAAGATCCGCCTGCCTCTGCCTCCCGAGTGCTGGGATTAAAGGCGTGCGCCACCACTGCCCGGCTGGAAAAGAATTCTTTATTGCCAGCTAGCTGGCAAATAAGTAAGCCCTTAACTTCATGGCTGTGAGTTTTACATTAATAAGCAACAAACCTGGCCTCTTAAAGTTAATGTAACTCGGACCATTAGCAGGGGCTGCCTGTCATATGTGAAGGCTCAGAGGCTCTTCGTTTGTGTTCTCGCTCATGTTGTTTAAGTTCCTGTCATTGTTCACTGAGTACTGCAGCAGTACTGTCTCCTCTCTGAAGTTACCACATGGCATCTTTAGAAGTGCGCTCTCCAGTCCACACCTGTTTCATTAACTACTTACTGGATGTTGGACCCTCAGTAAGTCTCCACTGTACATAGTCTACTTTTTCTTGACCTTGTGTATCGGGCCATTGTAAACATAAAATTAAAAGATGGCTTCAGTGAGTCTTTTAAAAAGTTATATTTGAGTATTACGTATATTTGTTTTAAGAATGCCATATGTTTGATACAAGATTTTGTGTCTAGAAAATGGGAACAACTTTATGAATCAATTCTAAGAGGAGAATATCACTGAAAATGGTAATGACAACTGTGATGTATATATTACGTGACTTAATTCTTCTGATACCTCCAAGGATTCTCAGCAGTGGAGAAGGAGAGGGAGAGAGGGAGGAAGATGGTAGAGATTGAGTGTGAAGAACCACTGTTCTTGTTTTAAATGAATCTGGTAGTGCTTAACATTTATATTGATTGTAAAGTTGAGGTCTTTTTAAAATGAATTCATATGTTCTCAACACAAACTACTAGAAGAGTTAAGTTTTGCACTTTTAATAATAGTTCCATTAAAAAAATAGTTCATTCAAAACATGTATGTTTTCTTCCATGTCAGTGCTTTGTGTGTAGAAGGGTAACATTGGGCTTACTTTACCCTTCCTGTCTGCTTTTCACCAGACAGTAGGCTGTACTTGATGGAAATGAACAATTTAATAACACTGGTGTTGTACCTGCCTATATGTCTGTGTACCACCTGTGTGTAGTGCAGACCGAGGCCAGAAGAGGGCGTCAGATCCACTAGCAGCTGGAGTTACAGATGGTTGTTAGCCAATTCACAGGCGCTAGGAATTGAACTCTGGTCCTCTGGCAGAGCAGTTGGTCCTCTTAACCAGTGAACCATCTCTCCTCTAAGTAACCTGTTTATACATTATCATCTTATGTATTGGATCTAAAGACGTATGTAACAGTGTTTGGGGAAGATTAGTCAAATCATCTTGGTTTATTTATGTTTTTGAGAGTGCATATTACATATATATGCACATAGATAGATTAGCTAGATAGATGATGGATGGATGGATAGATAGAGAGAGAGAGAGAGAGAGAGAGAGAGAGAGAGAGAGAGAGAGAGAGATAGGTAGAATCTATTTTTTGTTTGTATCAAAAGAAGCAAATATCCCCCAGTATATATACACTGTTGATAAAGGTGATTAATGACAAGTTATCTCAGGAACATTCAGAAATTGTAAAAATTTTATAAAAATTACTTAAACCTCTTATCTTTGGTTATGAACTTAAAAAAAAAAAACAAGGTTACTTTTCTGTACCCTTAATAATTCCTGAAGTGGGTTAATTATGTAGTTTAAAGGTGACGTTCCTGAAAGTTGTTACAAGCACAAATTGTCATCTTTAGTTTTGAAATAAAGTAAAATAGTTCTCAAAACACCTTCAAATTTTAAAATCATAAAATCCAAAATGCTGATTAAACCCTGAATTTTATTGAGATTAGAGATGGTCTGCCAAGTAACATACTCTTCTAGATAAAACAGTGATTCTGTATGGGCTATTACATGTAGATAACAACAAAAGTTAGATTTTAAGTAGTAGTTGATTGAGTCATATATTGCTCAATTGTGGTAAAAATTCTTTTTTAAGAAGGGTTGAAAATGGTCATTTATGTACATTTTTTCTTTTTTTTAGAGTGAGAAACGAAGCTCTAATTTCATGTACTTGATGGTTGAGTTTCGCTGTGTCAAGTGTGACGATAAGGAGTATGGTATTGTTTACTATGAAAAGGTATTTTCCTTGGAACTCTTTTTGCTTTCTAGCACCAAGGGCTAGGGTAGAGATCTTCTTGCTGAGACTCGGGGTTTGGTTGCAGAGAGCAGTCAATAGCTTTCAGCAGCATCTGCATCTGCACAAGCAATCCTGTCACATAGCTGCAGCCCATTTTGCTCATGCAGTTCTGGGTCACAAAATTCAATAAGTATGCAAGTGATTAAAACTCTCTGATTAATTGTTCTGCAAGTTGGTGAATATGGCACTAAAGTAAAAGCATTATTTACAGCTATCCATTTGCACAATAAAGTAGGAAATCGTAGTGTTTTGTTGGCAAGACATTGAAAGTTCAGATGTCAGTTATTTAACCTGTATGTAATATGTTGGAACTATATATGTGTCTTTGCTTATTGAAAGCCTTCATTGACATGCATTTGTATAGTTTATTCAAAATTTGGAGACCGTGTTTTTACTCAACTGAAATAACAGTTGTGTATTGTTCATATTTACTCATTACAGGAAGGATAGCCCAGTGTTCAGGATGTAGCTATATCAAAGTATTAGTTTTAAATTCATGTTGAAGGGATTTCCTTTAAATGTTACAGAAATACTTATATATTTAAAGGAATACTTATAGACTTATATGTATACTTACATAGGTAAATGTATACTCATATTTATATGTATACTTATATGTAAATGTATACTTATATACTTGTATGTATATTTATATCCTTGTATGTATAGTTTGAAACCTCAAAGTAGAGTTTCTTTCATTACTATGGAAATAGTGTTTAAATCACATAAATGAGAACAGAATTCTTGTATGTGACATGAGATGTAAACACTTTTAGCACACAGTATTTATACATGGGTCATTTGTTCATTAGAAGTAGTAGCTCTTCTAATCACATTTGCATATTAGTATCATTTATTGATGCTGTTTCCAGTGACTTCACGCTTATATACTTTGAAGATGGTTACTTGAAAGGTTTTCACAAGAAAGGATTTGGGTTTGCATTGTTAATTTGTAATTACTTTGAGATCCTTCTCCAGTTAATGTTCTTTTTCCCTTCATAGTTTCTTTTCACTTTAGTGAAAGATTAAGATACTTTAACTTATTTCAGCCTTTTATATATGAGAAAGATTGGGAAAGGTGGAAATGAAGGTTATTTAATAGTGTGTATTAGTTTATTAGAAAACAGTCAAAAAGAAAGGAAAATGTTACTGAGTAAAATTTTTACCAATGTATTTTAAAATTACTTTTTGTTTTGTGCTATACATGTTTGTTAAAGCCGTACTGCTGCTCGTATGCGGCTTCTGCGTGAAGAACCTACTAATTGGACGATACTTTCAAACATTGTGAGGGATCGTTTGAAAGGCAGCTTAGACAGTAGATGGATAATAACAGAATAGAAATTAGAATTTTCAATATTTTTGAAAGGTTACTGCTTCTAGGGGGTTGCTGGTGAATTAATGCCTGTCTGCCCATCCTGTCATATTTCCACTTAGTGTAAGGATTGCTGGGCCAGTGCATCACAGCCTAATGGAAACAGACGTTCTTGTCACCTGTCTTGTGTGACAGATGGCCTTAGTGAAGATTACCTGTCACAGTTAGGCTGATAAATGTGTTTTCTGGTGTTGTGACCGAGAACAAGCCTGTTAAACAACAGCTGTGGGAATTTGTTGTTTCCTGTAAGACTCAATTACTGAAGTGAAGTCGTAGTACTTCTTTAGTCCCTCCTGATTTCCTTGCATATATGTAAAATTGAGAATGCACTAACCCCTGGAAATAGCAAAACATAATGCTAGGTACACAGTCCCCAGGGAATAAATTTTGACTATAATTAGCCCATTGCAGTACATCTGCTAGCGACATGTATTATGCTGAGTTCGATTTAAAACAAAAGCTCATTCTTCAGGAATGATGACACCAACAAGGTAAGACATGTGTCAAGAATTAGTGCTGTGCTCTTGTCCCCGGGATGGCTTGTGTTGTCCCCTGAGATGCTATGTTGCCACTGTCTCTGGCCGGAAATGTGACCCATGCTTGAGTCCTTGAATAAGCCTTGGTCATGACACCTGGACTGATTTAAGTTAAACAACTGTGGTGTTTTCTTGTCCATTGCCATAATAAACCAAGTTTTGAGATTGTAGCCGCAAACAATAAAAAGTAGACTATGTTTCCAGATTTTATATCTTTCTAATTGTAATAATTTTTCTTTTTCTTTTCCAAAGTGTTTTATTAGTGATAGAGATTAAAAATAAATATGAAATTTAAAGAAAACAAGAGTTTATAAATGGGACGGTGATGTTTTAAAAATAGAATTTAAATATATTAGCATTGTATATTATTATATCCACTTATCATTTGCATAAAATTTCTCCTTTTTATCTTTTAAACCTTGTACTGTATTCTAGGATGGTGATGAATCATCTCCAATTTTAACAAGTTTTGAGTTAGTGAAAGTTCCTGATCCTCAAATGTCTATGGTAAGCTGTTGTACAGAGCCTTTAAGAACATATTTTTCTCTAGAATGAACACAGCTTAGACCCATGTAATATATTTTAAAATAGTAATCCACATATCTCAATTATCCAGACACAGTTTGTAATAAGTACACTTCAGCTGTTTGGAATGAAATTCAAATGGGATGCTTATAAGGAACAGTAACATCCTAAAAGTAAGGTCTGATTGATGCAAGACTGAGCAACTACTTTATTTAAATTGTGAAGAGCTAGTGGATGGAGTTGTTGAGTAAGGGTTATGTGGTCCAAGTTTGCTTTCTCTGTGATAAACACAGGACCAGTAGCAACTTGAGGAAGAGAGAATTTATTTGACTTACAAGCGAAGCTAAGGCAGGAACTAGAGGCAGGAAATGAAGTAGAGACCATGAAGGAATGTTCTTGCTTTCTTATATCACCCAGAACTACTTGTATAGAAGGGCACTATGCTCAGTGTCCTGGACCTTCCTACATCCATCATTAATTTAAACATGCCCCACAGGCTTGCCTACAGGCCAATCTGATGGGGACATTTTCTCAGCTGAGGTTCCTCTTCCCAGATGGCACATGCTGTGTCACGTTGACAAAAACCAGCCATCACAGTCATGGAAAAAGCGTCCTACAGAAGATGAACAGCCCTGAGTTAAGATCAGTGGATTAACATTTTATGAAGATTGACTTTATTATAAGATTGTTGCCAAATCCACTAGGCAAAAGGCTTACGCAAAGAGATGTTAAACGTAAAGACAAGCAATTCAGAATTAAAAATTAGTAAAAGGACAAGTAAGAATGTGTTATTAATAAAGTAAAAATCAAAAATATCCTTTTTTCTATACCTATAGGTAAATTAATTAATTAACTTATTTATGTATTTTTGTATTTATGTATTTATTTATTTATGGTTTTTCAAGACAAGGTGTCTTTGTATAGCCCTGGTTGTCCTGGAACTAGCTATGTAGACCAGGCTGGCCTCAAACTCACAGAGACCGGCCTGCCTCAGCCTCCCAAGTGCTGGGATTAAAGGCATGTGCCACCACTTAGCTACAGGTATTTCAGTGGCTCCATAGATAGCATTAATAATACAGTTGATGATTTTGGCCTCGTGTCAAGCAGTCAGCAGCAGGAGAGTATAGTCAAGCAACAGGCTCACTGTCTGTACCCGCAGCTTTGGAGTAATGTTACAGGTGTTGAGTGGCTGGTGGGGTTTGTCTGGTGGTGGTAGATAGTAGTGTGAAAGTGATGATACTTGATAGAGGATGTAAGGATTTGGGGTATTTGGAAGGTGTAGGAAGTGGGGTGTCATCTACATATTTCCCTACTGGAGCTACATTCATCCATAGTCTCACCATGTTATAGTGGGTCCATGGGACTGAAGTGGCACCAGAATCAAACATCAGACATCACACAATGGCTGTAAGACAGGACTTGGCAATTTCTAACTACTGGAGCTTTCTTTTTCTAAGGTTTACATTCTCTATATATCTAAATAATTTATAGGAGAATTTAGTGGAGAGCAAACACCACAAGCTTGCTCGGAGTTTAAGAAGTGGACCATCTGACCACGATCTCAAACCCAATGCTGCCACAAGAGATCAGCTAAATGTAAGAGAATTTACAGACTGTATAAAACATCTAAATGGACAATTTATTATAGCTAGAATTACACATTATTTCATAGTTTGATGAATTGTGTAAGTTCATATCTTCAACAGTTTCATGTGGTCTGCAGCATGTTTTTTTTCTTTAGTCATTCAGGGCTTTCCATAAATCTGTCAGTGTGGAGACTAATTAGAAAATTGTAAATATTTTCATACTTCAGTGTTCTTTGAAATGATCCCTGAGGTTCCTTAAGAAGGCTGTATGTAACTACACAGAATTATGTGTTGATTTGACAAGAGGAGGGTTCATTTTGTTTTTACAGATTTTGTGGTAAAGGGCATTGCCACTTTAGCTTCCTTACTATCTAGTTGAATGAAATATGCTCTGAAGTCACATGTTCATATGGAGCATGGTTGTCTCATCTTTCCTCATATGTCCTAATGACCTGCCTTTTGGGTGGATCCCTCAGCACATTTTTGCCTTAGCTGCCTCTGTGTGCCTTCTCCCAGCTTGTGTAATAATTATGTTACAGAAATATTAAGCAAATGAAAAAATGGAATGAAATACATATTAAGTGTATAGTTGACAAATGTAATTTTTTATCTTTTGTTTTAGATTATCGTGAGTTATCCTCCAACCAAGCAGCTCACGTATGAAGAACAAGATCTTGTTTGGAAATTTAGATATTATCTTACTAATCAAGAAAAAGTAAGTTTCTTGAATAGTTTATGTATCCGATTTACCTGTAGACTTTTCACTGTGATCAAGGGAAAGTAAAACCACACTAAAAATGCAGCTTTGGTCAAGCAACCATGCTACACAGCAGTATACTTGCTACAGCATTGTTTACAAACATAGTAAAGGGTGTCTACACAGAGGCACATATTCCTGGGGTTCAACTCCTAGAAAATGTCTGAATGAATTTTGAGTGGATTTGGATTCAGTTTCTGGCTCTGCAATTTGTATACATTAGACATAATAGGGTGGCATACTTTATTTCTTCTTGTTCTAATGGAGACAGCTTTTCATCATAGATGAGATGACAGTACCTGTTCCATAGCATGTGAAGAGTAAATCCTGACTCCTTTCTTTCTTATCCTCTTGGTCTCTGCATTCCTTGGTGATTAGAGATGCAGTTACACCGATAAAAAAGCTTGTAAATTCTGGAGGTGATGGGCATAGAGGAAAAAGAATGTGAGGAATGGAACTTGTGATGGGGAAATTGAATTAGTAGAGTGTCATACAGCTGGTTTGCAGGATGGAGGTGAGGTGAGAACTGGACATTTGGTAAGGAAACTGGAGGGTTGGGGCTTCTGGAGGGAGAAAGAGGATGAACTGCCAGGGTAGGTCCAATTCTGAAGATGTGTTGTGTCTAAACTGTTAACACTGCACAGCTTTTAAACTGTAGGACAGTTGTTTGATGGATTGAAGCTGTAGTTTATTGTGCTTAATATGGGATGATTCCATGATAATGAATTTTGTGTTCTTGCAGCTCTTCTGTCTTAGGCTGAGGGTCAAAGGTTAATTATTATTTTTTAATTAGATTGATTTATTTTATGCATATGAATGTTTAACCTGCATCAATGTATATGCTCCACACGCATTCTTAAACAGCTGATGAATCCTAGGGACCTTTAAATCCTTCAGCAAATCACTGTGTGCATTGTACATCACTGTCACACAGATAAGGATGTATTACAGAGCCACAAAGGTACACATGCTTCTTCTTGAGATGCTCATGTTTATGATTTAGAAGGGAAGGGTCAGTGAAGGTACAGAGAATAGAACATAGAAGATTTGCAGCAGGGTTTCTGAGTATATCAGGGGCACAGCAGAGATGCATTAGGAAAGCTTTGCATCAGGAACCTGTCATCTCATGGTGGAGGTTGAGCCAGTGTGTTGCAGTCTCATGACATGCTCTACTTGCCTTGGTTCATTTTTCTAAGGTAAAAGTAAAAAAGGAAGTTAGCGATCAGCTTAAGCTCCTCAACTTTCCCCTCTTTCATTTATTGATGGCTTAGAAACCGTCTGTGGATGAGTCTTATCTGTTACCTTTTTATCTATGAGAAGGGGGAGAGGATTTTATGTTACTCCAGCTTTGCGTGCCTGTTCTTCCTCCTCAGTAGCATGTGGCTTGTTAGCCTGTATTCTCTAGAGCTTGAGTTAGTTGCACCATGCTGTGCTAAGTAAAGAGTGTGAGGAATGGAACTTGTGATGTGGAAATTGAATTAGTAGAGTGTCATACAGCTGGTTTGCAGGATGGAGATATTGAAACCATGGCTTGAATACTGTAGTCATGTAATCTGCATGGCAAGATGGGAAATTTAATGTGAGGATGTTCAGAACCAAAGCATAGGTCAGCCTCACAGAGCAGAGCTTGCTTAGACAGAAAGGCTTGTAAGAGAAATCCTTTGTTTTATCCTAATAGTCACTTCCCGCTGAATTCAGTCACTTCTCAATGCACACGAAAGAAACTCAGTGCTGGCATGATATAAGATGTGTGGCACAAGTCATTGTGATTCCAAAGCTGCTGATGAAGCCTCTGTTCTTAGACATTAAGGATCTTAGGTCACTGCGTGGAGTAAACAGTATTTTAAATGTTCAGGAAGGGCTGTTGAGCAAACCAATGTAAATTGGCCTTGAAGTGCCTGGAGTAGTCATCACACAGCAGCCTGGGGATCCTATGATAATGCAAATAGCTGTGTAGAAAGCACATGTTCCTGTGCCCCAGCCCTAACTGACACATGGGCATTCTTTCAGTCTGGTTCTCACATTGGGATGAAGTTGGTTGGCATTTGGGCTTCAGGAGAAGCAATCCTGATCTCAGGAAGGCTCTAGAAACAGTTTGGTGGAAATGAGTTATTAGGAAATGACACTTTTTACTACTTTCATTAATTTTTTTTCACTAAATGATCTGTCTAAATAGAGAGTTGTATGAAAATCTTGAAGTCCTTACTTTATTTGTTACTAAAAAGTTTATTGTCATAACTGTTTGATAAGACCATTAAATTTTTTTTAATATACTTACGTTTTTGGTTTACATCAGACAAGGAGTGATTCATTCTTGTAGAGTCCAAAGTGTAAATTTTGTAATTTTCCGAGCTAGCTTGTATGATGAACTTTCTTCAAAAAATTGTTAATTTAATAGTAAATGTTGGACTGTTGTGATTGCTCAGTGGGTACAGGTGCTTGCCACCAAGCTTGATGACCTGAGTTTAATTTCCATGGTCCACCTGGTGGAAAGAGAGAACCAACTCCTGAAAGTTGTCCTCTGATCTAAACACACACACACACACACACACACACACACACACACACACACACACACACACATACAAATAATGGTAATTTTAACAAGTTTTTAATTCCTTGTCTTTTGATTATGTCTGGGGAAAAGCAATAGGGAGATCCTTTCTCAGTGGAGATAGTAAAGATGTACTTGTTGTTTTTTAGAAAGCAGCATCTGACATGGCGACATCAGGGCAGAAGTTATATCTGTGTTGCCGACTAGTTGATATTGAACCAGAGCAGAAGTGGACTCAGCTTAGATGCATGAATTATTTGCGTTGGCCTAGCTGACTCTGAACATACCATGTCTCTGCTTACATGCATTACAATTGACAAAGAATGTTGCCATCCAGTTGAAGTGGGGTAGTGATAGACTGCTTCAGTAAATGTAGGTAGTTGCTGTAATGAAGTGTGAGGGACGATGCTTGGCTGTTGTGGATGCGGGTGGCACTGGTTGTCAGTTATCATTGTAAGCAGGTGTTTAGGTTCAGGTAGGAACAATGGGATGAAAGCAACCTAGATTTGTACCTGGGAATTAGATTTCACTGGCAACTGGAAACCCCAAGTTAGAAAATGTGACTCAACATGCAGTACTTTAGGGAGGGTGAGCTCAGGTGCATTGGAGCAGAACTGAAAATGAAAAGGAAACATGATGAGATCTAGGAGACCCAAGTACTTACTGATGGAACAGTGCTAGGGTAGGGAGAGGTGGGAGGAGAATGCTCAAAATAAGCTGATTGGCTGCCATTACCTGGGTGAGGTCTGACAGTCTGAGAAAAGGAGGATGCCTGAACTGGCCTTCTCCCGTAATCAGATTGGTGACTACCCTAATTGTCTTCATAGAACCTTCATCCAGTAACTGATGGAAGCAGATGCAGAGATCCACAGCCAAGCACTGGAGTTCAGTTGAAGAGAAGGGAAGAGAAATTATATAAGCAAGGGGGTCAAGACCATGATGGGGAAACCTACAGAGACAGCTGACCCGAGCTAGTGGGAGGTCACGGACTATGGACCTATAGCTAGGGAGCCTGCATGGGACCTACCTAGGCCCTCTGCATGTGGGTACAGATGTGTATCCTGGTCTGTTTGTGGAGCCCCTAGCAGTGGGACCAGGATCTGTCCCTGGCGCATGAGTTGGCTTTTTGGAACCTATTCCCTATGGTGGGATGCCTTGCTCAGCCTTGATGCAGAGGGGAGGAGCCTGGTCCTCCCTCACTGTGATGTGCCATGCTTTGTTGACTCCCATGGGAGGCCTTACCCTTTCTGAAGAGTGGATGGGGGAGGGGGGTAGAAAGGAAGTAGGGGGAGGAAATGGGAGGAGAGGAGAGGAGGGAGGGGAAACTGTGGTTGGTATGTAAAATAGATTTCAAAATTAATAATAATTAAGAAAAAAGATTATCACAGTCAAAAAAAACAAAGAGAGAGAAAAGGAAATGTAACCAGAAAAGCAGAATGAGGAGGTGGGGTTTTTTTTTTTTGCTTTCATTCTCTCTCTCTCTTGTGTTGTGTTGTGTTGTGGGTGTATGTGTGTGGTGAGGAGTTGAGTATGCATGTGCAGTTGAAGTCAGGTGTCTTCCTCCTTGATCACTCCCCAGCTTATTTTTTGAGACAGGGTCTCTCGGTGAACCTGGAGCTTGCCCATTTGGCTAGAGTGACTGACCATTGAGCCCCAGGGGCCCTTCTGTCGTCACCGACCTCACTAAGTTCCTCATGCTATGGAGCTAGCACTTCTGGGAGAATTGAGAAGAGTTTTGTTGGAGCAAGATTTTAAAGTGTTAGAGCTGTCTTTCTTTAAGAGCTAATCCTTAGATGATACATTACTAACAGAATGGCCAGAGCTGTGCATTCTGCCAGGAGTACTTCCAGGAGACCTGGCTGTCGGGCTCACCTTGAGGACAACAGGGGTGTGCCTTTCTGAAGTGAGCATGTGCTGATTGTGCAATCAGGAGTGATCTCTGCAGGGTAGCTCAGGCAAACTTGGGGACAGCCAAAGAAAGAAGCTTCTAGAAAGAAGACCATCTGCCATACAGACCGTTTGCGGCTGGTTCTGGACCTAGCTATCTTGGTGTTTGGATTATAGTGTTTTGTTTTGATTGTCTTAATTGCCTGTCTCTTTAAGGAGTTGCTTCTCAGAGTGACATCCTGGTTTCTGTTTCATCTTTATTTGAGAGTATGCAGCAGGGCTAAGGAACCCACCCTGGTCAGATACTGAGTGAGGCCAACTGTGGGACTTTCACCATGGCTCATGGGGGTTTCTTGTGAGATGATGTTGATATTGTAAAGCTAAGATGGTTTCCAAGACATGTTAATGTTCATGGAATTTGTGTCAAATATTTACTTGTCTTGAGGCCTCTAATATTTTTAAACCACAAAAGCAAATTTAAAAACTTATTGTGCCCTGCAATGTTTTTTATCCTGGAAAGTATAAAGTTACAAGGAAAATGCTTCTGTTCTGTGTCCTGCACTGCCGACCTATGACCAGGATCCTTTTGTTATAGATCCTCCTGTCAAGGCCACATAGACCTCAGCCTTCATCTTTCACCTGGCAATAGGATATGGTTCTAAATGTCAGCTCTTTTCTGATTCTAGGCTTTGACAAAGTTCTTGAAATGTGTTAATTGGGACCTACCCCAGGAGGCCAAGCAGGCACTGGAACTTCTGGGAAAGTGGAAGCCTATGGATGTAGAGGATTCCTTGGAGCTGCTCTCCTCACATTACACCAACCCAACAGTGAGGCGGTATGCTGTGGCCCGCTTGCGGCAGGCCGATGATGAGGTAGGTACATTACCGTTCATTACTCCCACTTGACTGTCTGACAGGTACATTTAAAAGGAGTCCAGTTTAAGACTGGTCACTAGTTACAGGCTTGTACATGTGTGTGCTTGCGAGACAGAGGCAAACAGAGATAGAGACACAGAGAAAGAGAGACAGAGGAGGAAGAGGAAGGAGAATTAGAAGAAGCAGAAGAAGCAGAAGAAGAAGAAGAAGAAGAAGAAGAAGAAGAAGAAGAAGGAGAAGGAGAAGGAGAAGGAGAAGGAGAAGGAGAAGAAGGAGAAGAAGAAGCAGCAGCAGCAGAAGAAGAAGAACAAGAACAAGAAGTAGCAGTAGTAGTAGTAGTAGTAGTAGTTTCTAAGGAAAATATATACAGATGTACTAGTTAGGTTTCCAGAAGTATTTCCACAAGGGTGCTGTGAGAGGAAAACTGAATTCCAGGTCTGTTACATGATGAGACCCTCTTCCTCCAGTACTTTCCACTGGCACTCAGCTTGTTAATCAGAAAGGGCATTTATTGGACTCCTTGGGAGATGTCCTGAGCATGGAGTTTCCATTCCCATGGAGGTTCAGGTGTAGACACAGTCTTCATGCTATTATTTTGTATTCTGGGCACTTCCTCACAGTGGCATGATTAATGAAACTGTTGGCCATTGGTAATGAAAACTGCACTTTTGGACAGGCAGATCTAACCCTTGGACATTGATTCCTTCCATAATCTTTAGAATAACTGTTTTATAAAACTGTCATAGGAATCTTAATCTTAAGTCCTTAAGTTGAATTAAGAGATGATTGACAGTTTTATGAAGTTCAGCCTTTTTGCATGGCAGTGTGAATTTTTATTCACATCTCTTATAAAGTCGTATGTATTTTTTAAATTAAATGTATCATAGGGCAGTTACGTTGTTACTATTACAAAATACTCATTTCTCATATTATGCATTAGGTAAAATAAAAAGCTGTCATTGTACAGCGCTTGTTTTTGGTCACCTCATTGTCCTTTTCTCTGGTTCTTATGCATGTTTCTTGAGCGCTCACATTTCCTAGGTGTAAGATGATACCAGAAAAGCTACATCTGCTTTTCAAGGCTGTGTTGCTCGCCTCTCATTGCAGCTAAGCACAAATAATGTACATCTTTGCCTTCCTTTTATTAGTATGAATGCTTTTAGTATCTTGTCCTCTGAAGTGTGTTTTGTTGTAGTTTTATTCAAATCTTTCTTTGTTTAGAATGGTTCTTTTTATGTGTGCTGTGTTTTGAGTATGTTTGCTTGTGTTTTGAGTGTGTTTGCTTGTGTTTTGAGTGTGTATGCTTACATCAGGAAAGACTCTGATATGTTCACCTTTGGCTGTTGCTCTATCGTGTCAAACGGCATTGTGATACATCTTCCTAAGACTTGACCACTCTTATAATTGTAAAGTAAATCTCTTAATATGTATATAAATTTAATTTTTTAATAATTCTGTTTAGGAATTTTTAAGTATTGATTCTTGCTGTTACATGGTTCAGACAGGGAAGTTCTGCATGAGAATTGAGTGACGATAGTGTTAGAGACACATTGGCGGAAAGTTGTTTATGTTCCACACAGAGAGCTCAGCATGAGTAAAGGTGGGGACAGCAGTAGAGTGTGGGAAGGGGAAGCCAGAGCTGTACCTGCTTGCACGGACAGTGACTCCTGTCTGCAGGCACAGGGAAGACTATGCCTCTGACCGCAGCCTTGCTCTCTGAAGCACGGAGTAAACTGTTCTTGGGAAAGGTGGTGGTCACTATACATATTTGTGGTTCCTGGGAAGTTTCTGTTTCATTGACTTGTGTAGAAACCTGTTTTTCCCCTTTTGCTTTGTTTTACTTAAAGCTTCCATCTTCCGTGTGTAGGGGATTTTTTTTTCCCCACCATGTGACTATATAAGGAGAAAGCGGGTGATTTACTTGGTGTTCCTTTTAATTTATTTCCTTACAAATGGGGAAAAAATGTGTTGTTTGAATGTAGAGTACCAGATATCCAGCCAATCAGATGGTGATATGTGACATAAATGGGGGATGTTTTCTGACATTCCCCCTTTCCTGGGCAACTCAGTGAGAAGCAGTACTTTGCCAATGGGAATTGTCTTTGAATCTTGAGTCTTGTCCAAGGTTTTCTTTTTAAAAGTAAATTTCTTTTTTTTGCGCTTCCTTAATAGTGCTGGAAAAGAGCACATAGCTACATTAATGGAGAAACACATCACTCCCTCGCAAACGTTAGACTTAGAGACTTCACATTAGAGAACATTCCAATGAGGAACATCTCTTGCCGTGACAGCAGTTCCAGACTCCTGCTGACTTCCAGTAAGCGGCAAAGGGGCTCAGGCTGAGACACCAATGCTTCAAGCCCTTCCTCTGACCAGAGTGTTAGCATCTGCTCACAGTCTCTTCCATGTATTTGTTTGAAAAGAAGGACATGGGGTTGGGAGAGGTGTGGTGGTGTGATCCAGGAGGACATAGAGAGGTCTATGGATATGGTAAAGTACATAGTATACATGAATGAAATTCTCAAAGAATAATTAAAAAGAAGAAGAAAAAAAGGCTCAAGGTTCTTTAAAACTCTGACTTTTAAGGGAAAGAAGAACAAAATTTGTTTCAGAACATGTCCTGAAACAGAAATTCTTTTGAAAATGTGAAGTGCATTCTCCAGCAGTCTTAGACATGGGATGTGTTTGACTATCTGCTGATAACAAGGCCCTTCTTTAATTCCTTAGGAGCCAGCTGAAGCTCCCTCCTTACTTTCCTGCTTTCTTGTTTTGTTGTCCAGATAGCCCTACTTAAGGGAACTCATCCGCTGGCCACTCACTGTGTGCCGCACACTCTCCAGTCTCTTTCTTCGACTACTTATTTAGTGATTGTGTCTGTTTCTGCAGTCTTTGCTGTCCTGCTCTTTCTATAAATGAAGACACAGGATACAGCCAGCGGTGACGTAGCTTAGTAACATGGTAATGGCAACAGATGGAAGAGGTAGACATTGCAAGTCTAGGAGTAAGTGTGCTGGGCTCTGCTAATACCAGTTTCTTTGTCGTTCATTGGTTTCTAGGACTTGCTGATGTACTTACTGCAGCTGGTCCAGGCTCTGAAATATGAGAACTTCGATGACATAAAGAACGGTTTGGAACCTACCAAGAAGGACAGTCAAGGTTCGGGATCAGAAAATCTGTCCAATTCTGGAATCAGTTCTGCAGAAATAGATAGGTATGGCTCTCCAAGGAAGATTGTTTTTACATGTGACACTTTGTCCCTTTTCAAGTTATCCTCTTCTTTCATTTATATTGTTGTCTTCTTTCCTTTCTCCCTCATGTGCCAAACAGACTCTGGCTTTTCTCATTTTGATTTTGACTTTGGCATGGAAACTCACCAAATGAACTCGAATACATACGCATAGATTACTAGAGACCAGTCTTGCTTTCTGCCTAGTCAGAGAACCGAGTCTCAAGTCTGCCTCCTTGCCTCGCAGACTCCCTGTTACGTTCTCGATTGTGTGACTGCTTTCTCCTCTTAAGTCAGATGACAGTAGCAGCCTCTTGCTTGCAGATAAAATGGTTACACAGGATTTACAGCTCGGTTGTCTCTTCTGTTCCATTTTCAGCTCCCAAATTCTAACCAACCCTCTTCCTCCGGTGTCGTCCCCTCCTCCTGCATCTAAAGCAAAAGAGGTTTCAGATGGGGAAAATCTAGAGGTGAGTAAAAGCTTTCCAAAATATGGTGCAAGAGGTCCTGTCAGTTGGCATTCTGTGTTGATCTTTATGACCTTGGTTTGATTAATAAACTAACCATTGTAACTTTGTTCAATAACTGGCTTTATGGTGCATGTTATGACCTTTCCCCATGTATAATATGCTGGATATTGCTTGGTTCACTTTATTGGTGCTTGGGGCATATACAGAGGTTTATATATAACATGAAAATAAGCTAAGTTCAAATATTTTATCAGGGAGACTCAGGGATGTTCATTTTAATGTATTAATGAATGTTAGTGCAACTGTATTTGCAATTGTACCACAGAAATGTATGATTCATTGTACACTAAGCAGATGTTTTTAATTCATATAGACAGGTAAACTCATTTTTAAGGGAAACAGTTCTCCCAGACTAGTAGTTATCTGAAAAGAATACACCAGCCCTTGTGTGTGTGTCGAGAAACAGCAGGGGCCAGTCCTAGGTGAGGACATGAACATGGAAAAGATGAGGTCTGAGGGAGAAGTAGGTGTCATTGCTGTAGGGCCTGCAGGTCATCACATGAGTTTTCTTTCTTTTTTTTTTTTTATAGTATTTTTATTTTATAATTGACTTAATTTCACATATCAGTCGCAGATTCCCCTGTCCTCCTTCCTCCCACCCCCTGCCCTCCCCCCTAATCCACCCCCCACTCCCACCTCCTCCAAGGCAAGCTCTCCCCTGGGGAGTCAGCCCAGCCTGGCAGACTCAGCCGAGGCAGGTCCAGTCCCCTCCTCCCTGCACCAAAGCTGAGCAGAGCGTCTCAGCATAGGCCCCAGGCTTCAAAAAGCCAGCCCATGCACCAAGGACAGGTCCTGGCTCCACTGCCTGGGAGCCTCCCAAACAGTTCAAGCTAATCAACTGTCCCACTTATCCAGAGGGCCTGGTCCAGTTCCATGGAGGCTCCTCCGCCATTGGTTCACAGTTAATGTGTTTTCACTAGTTTGGCTATTTGTCCCTGTGCTTCCTCCAACTATGGTCTCAACATCTCTCACTCATACAATCCCTCCTCTCTTTTCGCCAATTGGACTCCTGGAGCTCCACCTGGGGCTTGGCCGTGGATCTCTGCATCCACTTCCATCAGACACTGGATGAGAGTTCTATCATGACAGCCAGGGTGTTTGGCCATCCAATCGCCAGAGCAGGTCAGCTCAGGCACTCTCTCAACCATTACCAGAATAGGAAGAAGCAGAGTGTTAGAGAGGTCCCCAGAAATCCACAAAGATACCTCCACTGTAGACTACTGGCAATGGTTGACAGAGCACATGAGTTTTCTTTAGAAGTTGATGAAATAATTGAGGTGAACATCTTGCGCTCCTTAATGCTGGGAATGCTCTGACATGACCAGGTTGTGAATGTTGTGTTCAGAATGTCACCCTACTTACTACCTAGCACCCAAACTGTAGCTTTAACAGTTTTATCTATTTCTGATGTTTTTTCCTTGTGACTGATGAAACATTTTTTGGGCTGACTGCTATTCACAGTGTTCATATAATCCAAACCATGGCAGAGATCCTTTTGAGTGATGACCTCCCTCTTCCTTAGCCTCAGAAAAGTAACAATATATAAGCCTTCAGCACCTTCAAGTTGGTACTCACCGAGGTTGGTCACACCACTTTTCTCTGTATCATAGACTGAGATACCTAGTCTTTCCTTCTCCACACCGGAGCCATGTCTTCTGGCCTTCCTTGTTTCTTTCTTAGAGATTCAGACATCAGTTTATATGAACAGCTAAATGTAAAAACATGATAAAACCTGAGTTTTCTGAGATTTTGGCTAGATGTCAGGTCCAGCATTGCAAGGAGTCAGTGACAGGAACTCAAAGCGGCTAGCCTACAGTCATTAGCAGAGAGTACTGAATTCATACATACATGCTTGTGCTTACCTCCCTCCCTCCTCTTTCAGTTCAGAATCCCCTGCCCAGGGAATGATGCTACCCACAGTGGGTGGGAGTTCCTTCCTCATTTAATATAGCCCAAGATATTCCCCATAGACATGCCCACAGCTAGAAAACCCTTCATTTAGACTGTTCCTACATGATTATGTCAAGTTGACAATTAAGTCTATCACATAGAGTGAAAGTTCCCTGTCAGATGGGGGAATTGTGAGGGTTTCTGTTGTTATTTTTGTTTTGTTTTGTTTTGTGCATGTCTGTAGATATATCCATGAAATATTTTTGAATCTCTTTGTTAATTAAATGCATCATATGTTTGTAGCCTTGTATTTCAGGCTTACCACCGAACATCCCAGATAGTGAAATCTCCACTTTAAATTTTGTTTAGCATTCCGTCTCACTTGTTTTTTGTTTTGTTTTGTTGTTGTTTAATAGAACATCTTATATAATATAATACTCTCCTTGTTCATCTTTGGCTAAATCCATCTTCCAACCCTCTCTACCTCCTTAGTTCATAGGTTCTGTCTTGATTTTTTTTTTTAACTAGTTAACTTGGATATTTTAACTTAACCTGTGTTCTTAACTTTCATGTTTCATAATCATGACTTTTCTTCTAAACAATATTGGAAGCAGTACAGACCTTGCCATCACTGGTATGACATTGTTATCAAATGTCTTAGTTCTGTATTCTTACCTTCCAGTTTTGGTTGTGAACCTAACCTTTAATGGCTAAGCCATCTTCCTAGCCCTATTCTTAATTTCTAAATCAGATGAAATTATTATTATTATTATTATTATTATTATTATTATTAGACAATTGGGAAATGCATAGAGAGATACATGCCTCTAAGAGTACCTGTATCCTTACTATTTCTTCTGTTGTCTCTGATCTGTTTCTGTCCACAGTATGATTATTTCTTGTTATTGTTGTTTTTATTTAAAATGTTTAAGCATCATCTAAATTGAATTTTAAAATTTATAGGATAACATTGCATGTTTAACAGTTTTAAAAATTTTATCTTCCATATTTATAATCTACTAGTGAATTTTTAAAGAAAAAATCTTAGTAACAAATGAAATGTATTAATTGCATACTTCATTATAAAAATGTATCTCCAATTGACAACTGCTTGCAAAGGAAAAATTAGTTCTTTCCAATTAAGTCTCACTGGGAATATCAACCACACCTAGTATAGACCCCATGCCCAACAGTAGATGGCCAACAAAAAGGAACTCAATGACCTTTTTCTAAGTTTTTTGTCTCATATTATTTTTTTTGGACATCTTTTTTTTCTCATTGGTACTTTGTATATTGTGCTTTCTGATTTTGTGTTTTTATGGGTTTTGTGTGTGTGTTTCTTGTACTTTTTCTTTGTTTTGTTATTTTTCTTTTTAAAATTCTGGTTTGTTTGCTTTTTTTATTTGCCTGTTTGTTTTCTAAGAGAGGGAAAACAGGAATGGAGTTGGAGAGGTGGAGAGGTGGGGAGAATCTGAGAGGAGATGTGAGAGGGGAGAAACTGTTACCAGAATAAATTGTATGAAAAAACGCTACTTTCAGTTGAAAAAGAAAAGAATGTCTCCATAGTCTGAAGATAAACCTTGAGCCTAGATTTGTGTCTGTTGAGCTTATGCACTGAACGTTACTTGATGACTGTCTACTTGAGAGGCATCTTCATTGGATTCTTGATGCATGTTTAAAATGTAGATCTAAAAACGTTCCTCCTGGACTGGGGATGTGGCTTGATAGTAGAGGTCTTCTTTACCATACTTAAAGACCTTTCTTCTCTCCCCATTGCCTTCAGTGGAAAAGAAAATCCCTAGACTTGCCAGCACATCTGTTTCCTGATAGCCTCTGATGGCTCCAGCTTTCCTCTTAGGGAGCTCTGATACACCGAGACCTCTGATCCCTGTTTGCTTGCTCTCCTTCTCTTGGTCCATCTGCTCATCCTCCTTCAGTATTTGCTTCCCTCTTTTTTTTTTTTTTTTTTTTTTTTTTTTTTTTTTTTTTTTTTTCGGTTTTTTTCGAGACAGGGTTTCTCTGTGTAGCTTTGCGCCTTTCCTGGAACTCGCTTTGGAGACCAGGCTGGCCTCGAACTCACAGAGATCCGCCTGGCTCTGCCTCCCGAGTGCTGGGATTAAAGGCGTGCGCCACCACCGCCCGGCTTGCTTCCCTCTTAATGTAATTTTCATCCTGTGCCTCATCATATTAGGCATTCTTTTATGAGCATCTTCATTTCCCCTGGAAAGATCTTAACTCCTGGTAAGCATAATTAATCACATAATTTCTCCATGCCTGAATGTTGCTGAGGAAAACACTTAGCTTAATGTGTAGTGTCAATGCACATTCATATACCTCAACTTGAATTAAGACTCTGCGACCTACTGTCCTGCATTGCCTAGGTGGGCTGATCTCCTTTGCCCTTCAAGGACCTTCTCTTTTTGTTCTTCATATTCTACTTCCCAGTCTCTAGGCAACAATTGGGCTCCATGGTTGCTGGACACAATAGAAACCACTCAGAGGAGTGATGATTTCTGTCTCCAGATCTATAGGCATAGATCCCTCCTCATTCTTTCCTTCTTTCTCTTACAGAGAAGTGGAATGCCTTACAGGTGATATTTTGTTCTTTGTAGAAACAGCCAGATGTGCATTAATGTCTCTTAGTTTAGAAATTCAGAAAATGCCCTGTCGTGCCCATTCCTTCCGACACCTAGCTCCTTATGTGCCTTCAGGACCAACTCAGTGATTTTTATATCTTGACTCTCCCCTCCCTTCATTCCAAGACTTTAGACCCCATCACTTTGGTTTTACTTAAAACTTACTTTGTTAAGTTTCTAAAGGGCTTTGACATGGTCACATAGTGCCCAGTTCTATTGAAGGCTCCTGTCTTGAGAAGCTGTGGCTTCCTAAGGCTTTAGGCAGTAGCATTCATCTGTTTTACTTTTCATCTGTAATGTTTGTTTTTGTACAGTGCCCTTCATCAATATCCACTTCTATACTTGACATTGTACTGTTCTCTACGGTCCTCTGTTACCATTTATGATTTCCCTGAGCTGTACTAATACACATACACTTCAGTATCTAGCTCAGATCTCTTGTCTGAGTTTCTGATTTGTGTATCCAAATCCTCACTTAATCTCCATGCTCTATCTGACAGGCATTTCAAAGTTAATGCTTCACAAATGCTGTTCTCTTTTCCGTTTTCCATCTGTGATGTAACAAAGCAATCTATTTACTGAATCCAGAAATTTGGAAATTACTGTCAGTTCGATCTTTCTCATTTCTTCATCAGAAATCCCTGTTAGTTATGATTTCAAAACATTTCTTACCTTGTTTCACTTGCCATCTTCACTTTCTAGACTATTGTTAAAACATCCTAACTGACCTCAGGTCTGCACTTTTCAGACACCTGAACTAACTAAATGTCAGTCAGGCTGTCACACACTCCTGTCAAAATCCTTTCTTGGGTATGGATATCCTCTGCTTTTCGTCTACAGTTCACACTCTAGATTGTACCCAACAGTTGTTAAATAATTTGACCATTGTTTAGCTCTTAAATCTGTTCTTTTGCTGCTCACTGCAGTTGAGCTTCATGCCGAGCATAGAGCCTTTTTATACACTGCCATCTTGGGCTGGCCTAGATGTGATGGTTTCTCCATTGTCTTTTCAGATCCATCGAAACTATTTCTATGATTGTTTTTTCATTGTCTTTGTCCATTACCAAAAATATTAATCAGAAGAACAAAGAACTCCACAGCGTCTCAAGTATTGTCTTAGTTTGAAGTCAATTTGAGGTGGGTGGATTGTGGGAATGGATGGGAGAGATAGATAGCTAGATGAGAATCTGCACTGTAACCTCAGATGAAAACTGATGGGCTGGCTTAGGACCTCTCATTTGCCTCCTCTTAATAGCAGATGGTGATACGTATTTCTTTTAATTTTTTCAGCAAGATCTATGTACCTTCTTGATATCAAGAGCCTGTAAGAACTCAACACTGGCTAATTATTTATACTGGTATGTGAAAACAATTTTGTTTTGTTTCATATCACTTCTTTGAACTACTTTTCTCATGCTGTAAAGTCAGAAAACTTACTATGAAGGCCATCACCAGATGCCTGGGTTCTGTGCTTCTGTCCTCCCACCCCACCCCCACCCCCGTCACTGTCATAGCTGTTTCTAGAAGTCGGTGTCATCGAATTCTTTCTTCTGCTAATTTTTCTAGAACTAATGGCTTTGGGGACTCTTCCTCCCCCCAGATGGGTCTGTTTTTCCTTTTTGTTATTTCAGTAGTATAGAATACTTTATAACTTTTTAAGAGTGTATTTTTACATTATTTACCAAACAGTTAAATCCCACAGTAATAGAAATTGAAATTAAAAATTATCTTCACTCACTTTAAAGATGAAGAGGCTGAGGCAGAAGGATGCTCTAACTGAACGTGACAGGTACTGATTAGGATAGATTATCCGCCATTTGCAGAGGTGTCCCAGTGACTATTTCCACTCTTCCCTGAGTGGTTACATGAAGTAGGGGTAACTATCATGGTTTACATGAGAGCAGTGTAAAACAAAGGTACAGAGGGGCAACTTCCTGTACCAAATTAGTATGAAGTGTGGCTCCCTCTCTGTCTCAGAATCTTAAAGTGGAGGCCACATTGATAAATACATTGAGTCAGTGGGAAAAAAAAAATCATTGGGTTTAAATGCTGACAAATGAATCCTGTCCACTTTTGCAGAGGATCTTGGGGTACAGCCTGCTGGGTGAGCTCTACTGGAAACATGGGTTTTTTTTAACTATAGAAATGATTTCCGATTTAATCTTATATTTAATTTATGGTCTTAATTTAAATAGCACAAATCAATAGATGTTCATTCTGAAAATTCCTTGTTTTTCAATAATCATAAGACATTTTACTTTTCTTGAAGAAATTAAAATGCTGTCTTATTTTAGACAGGATTTGAAAACCCTGTTGTATGGGTGGAATCAAGCTTCAGCTCATTCTCCCTTTTTCAAAAAGGAAGGGAACCAGAGCACTTGTAAAAAAACACAGATGCCTGGCCTGCATAAACAACATTGTCTAAGCCTTTATGGTTTTCTCTACCACAAAGAAAAACTAATACCAGTGATTTTTTTATAACATGAGCCATTTTCTCCAATGAGACCTATGAGTTTTCCCTTTGCCTAATGACTGAACTATTGGAAAGCAAAGTATTTCCAGGTGTCTAGTTCAGCAGTTGAATGTATTATTCATAAAAATATATTTCTTTCACACTAAATGTTAGGATGCCCTTGGAAATACATTATAGAACATTTTGGCTAGTTTTAATTACCAGTTTTCCATTTAAGAGTTTACTTACAAATTCTCAGATTGCCAAATTGCTGTTTTGATTTAATAGAAACCTATAGTTCATGTTCCTTGCTTTCCTATCTGAATGCTTTAGTGTGCTTCTGTTCACACTATTACAGAAAAGCATTTTCTTGTGAAAAGCTGAGTAAATATTTAAAAAAGAAAAGACCGAAAAATTTACAGGGAGCATAAACCATGGGCAGCCCCACTTGGCACTCTTCAGAGTATCCCATCAGACTCAGACTCCATGTGAGTTTCTCTACTGTGAGTCATTGAACTGTCTGTTCATTTTAAGATTAAACTTATTAAACTCTACATATTATGTATTTAAAAATAAATATTCATTGGTGAAAAAAACTGTTGATAGTAATGCTTAACTTTGGTAGACAATGCTATTTTATGAGTGTAGGACAATTGTATGAAAAATAATTTCTTAGTTTTCTTAAAGCGATCAAGTTTCCTCTGAACATGAACCAAGTGTCAAGGTGTAGAGCCTCTCACCAAGCTTCCTCTGTCCTAACAAATGAATTTAAATTTCAAGTTTAACTGATGGTACTGTTTTCTTCTGAACACCCTGGGTTTCTTTGCCATTTTTCTCCCCTTTTCGGTGATTTCAATAGGATTTCTGCTATAGCCAAATCCTTGAGGGGCCAGTAACTGTGCAGACAGCCCCTTTAAAATGAGTAGTGTCAACACTTTAATCCACAGAGGGGAGTTATGTCTCTAGTCTGTAAAATGTTGGCATCAGAATCTATAAATCCTTGCAGTTTTTTATTTTTATAGTCATTGCAGTGTGTTGAAAGGAAAGTCAACTTGGGATGCTGTGACATGTTTTCTCTGACTTCTAAGACCTTTGAAAGTAGTGAAAGTTAGTTACTCCACAAAACGAAATTGTCAGGGAAGAGTGAACCTGCTGATGTCATCTTATGTTGAGTACCTGGACAGATTGTCACTTTTCCCATTTAGATGACAGCTTTCCAGGAAATGCCATGCAGGGCTCTGTAGAATCCAGTTGATAGGTGTCAACAGCAAGTTTTGAAGTGGTTAGACTCTGGGTCTTTTGGTCCTCATCTGTCCATGGAGATGATGCTCATTTGTATTTTAGATGACTCATTTCTTTTTTAGCAGAACACTGACATGAAGTACTAGAACGGTGTTTAATTATGGAGATCAGCATGCACCTTCAAGTTCTGGAACTGCTGTAGCCGTTTACGCTATAGTTAGCGGGTAGTGAACATAGTGGTGAGGCCTGCGGACATAGTCATGTTTGTTTGTAGATGAGTTTGCTACTTATGTACATAGGAAAAGAAATGAAATTATAATGGTGGTGGGGGCCGTCAGTGAGTTTAAGCAGCCAGACTCAGATTTGGTGAGATCCCATTGATGATTTTGGAGTTTGCAAATACTCTTGTTCTGACATTCTTATGGGTGGTCCTCAAGTGATCACACATTCTGAAATACCATAATAAAAAATAGGAGTTTATCTTGTTTGGGTCCTGGCTGAATCCTCTACAACAGAGCCATCCTCTAAACCTTCTTTCTTGATAAATGATCCTCAGAGCTGTTCATCTGCTCTCTGAGCACCTGAGATGTGGGCAGTATGAAGCACTGAAGTTTGAATTTACTCTGATTTATTATTGTGGTTTTCATGGTTTCTTGAGACAAGATCATGTTTCATAGTCTATGCTGGTCTAGAAATCAAGTTGCTCCTGCCTCAGCCTCCCAAGTGATGGGATTATAGGTGTGCATCTTAATACCTGGCAAATTGGAATTGATTTTAATCTAAAGAGAGTCTTGTGTCTAGTGGTGGTGTAGATGTTCTATAAAGCATCTCTAGTCCTTCATGCTTTTATTCGTTTTTAGTTTTCGACTCTCGTTGAGAATGATGTGGTGTATATAGGGTCATGCTTTAACTCCTCGCAGCACTTTCCTGGAAACACCAGACCTCAAGAACATCTGTGCTTGTGGTATAGCTTAGCTCTGAGAAGAGGGGAGAGGACAACTCTTACCTCCTTTAAACAGTTATCTGTCTAGAGCATTTGAGGTATGGCACTTACCGCAGTGCCTTTACAACCTAGGAAGGTGCTGAGAGTTAACCATGTGGAGCAGTGACAGACAGCTGTTGTCAGGACACGTCGTCTGAAAGAGTCCGTTTATAAAGGAAGTCCAGGAGCAAGGTGCATAGACTTCGGAGAGAGACAGGCTATAGCTGTGACTGAGTAGAGTGTGGGAGGATGGGGAGATGGGGAGGAAGGTATGTTTGGCAGATGCTGCCATATGTGCTGAATCAGAGAGTTGGAGCTTAGCAGCATCAGAGGAGACTGACCTGCCTGGAGTATGAGTTCATATCTGGGTGATGGAATGGACATGTCAAGCTCAAGTAAGCACAGTCTGTTTTAAAGGGGAATGCTGATGCTTCTGCTCTTGTAGGGAGGACATAATTACAGTGTTTGAAAGAAAATTTGAAGGTGGTTAAGTTGAGGAATAAGAATTTTCTTGTTAGAGTTGAAGAAATGTGGTATTAATTTGGAATTCCTGGTAGGGCTGGGCTGGCTGGTGCAGAGGTATCATAAGCATTTAATGGAAGCAGTTGGCAGGCTGCATGGAGTAACTCGGTACAGGCATGTTAGGGGTAGGAAGAGGACCACAAGCTGAACATGCCTCTGGACATGTGGACCAACGCCGAACACAGGCAGCACAGGTGTTAACCAGGGCTTGTATTCTCTAATTTGGCTGTGTCATGTCTCACCCCGTTGTTCATGTGATTGAGACACGTTTCCTGCTTGACTTTTGAGAAAAGTCTTGGTTAATTTTATTTACTACATGAAAAAGAAATTCATCTTAAAAGCATGGGGGATTTATTGATAGGGTGTTCAGTAGTTGAAGAAGAAAGATTCCGGTTAGTTTGGTAAGTTCAATTTTACATATTTTGTTTAAAAATACTGCAGTATGTTCTGGTGCTTGAAAAAAAAAATCACTGGATGAATATGAAACCAGGTAATATAATAAGAAGGAAATTATACTTTACATGAACAAAAGATACATAAATTCATATTGTATAGTTAGTTACCAATACTGAGATTTTATCTGAATCCATAGCATCCGAGTCATTCAGCAATGAAGATTGTCTTCTACTACAAGGCATAAGCCTGCAGGGGTGTAGTGGAGAACAAGACACATGAGCTCTCTAGTCTTAGACACTTTACCCTCTAGATGGCTGCATGTATTCTTCAAATAACAGTATAGGGGACAACAGTATGTGTCTGTGACTTGACATTCGTCAAATGTTATCAATTAAGGAATTTGTAAGTTTCTTGTGGATTTTGAAGTTGGAGTAGAATTGAGTAACTTAGCTGAATAGAAAGCCAGGGCTGTAGAGAGACGCTCTCAGGACAGTGCACTTGCTGTTCAAACATAAGTTTGGTTCCAAAGTACACATAGAAAGCCAGGTGAGTAGAGGACACTTGTAATTGCCTTCCTTGGGGTGACAAGAGACTAAGGCCCAGAGTTCAGGAGCCAGTTTGCCTAACAGATTGGTGAGCTCCAGATTCAATGAGAAATCCTCTCTTAAGAAAAACAGTGGAGTCAACCTCTGACCTCCATAGGTAGGAGTACATATACATACACATGCATGTCTACTAATACATACATGTGCCCCTGAACATACTTGTGTGTGCATGCATGCGCGCACACACGCACACGTGCAGGGTGGGGGTGGGAGAATGAAGATAAATACATGGATTCTGACTTGGCAGCCATCTCCTGAATCAACCAGATGTACCATCCTGAGAAATACATGTAGTCTCCCAGTTTTCACTGTTTCGAGTCATGATCTCATGTAACCCAGGCCAGCACTAATAACTCGGCTTCTCAAGTGCTAGAATTAGACTTGCTCCACCACCCCCTTATCTCCACATTTCACTGTTGATAAGGCAAGCAAGTCAGTCTAAATGTGTGTTTATCATGGCCCACTGAAAGTGACTTAAAGCTGCTTTACAATTTAGCATTGTTATTTAAACAATATAGATTATAAGAAATATTAAGTGCCATAAGGTTCTGCTTTCTAACTTTCTGCACCTATGTTATACATTATGGTTTGTTCCCATCAGAACATTTAAAAACATTTAAAAAAAATTATCTCTCACTTAGCTTATTTATGTATGTGTGACTTTTATAATCATACAAGGAATTTAGATTTAGGAAAACAAGGTCAGCGTTAACTGTCTAAAACAAGTTTTATAATAGAAAAGTTGTAGATTTTATAGAGTTTTTGAGAAATGGGGGAATTGGATTCAAGAGAGAAAAATCAATTCAAACTTTTAGTCATCTTGTGAAAATATGTCAGAGAAAAAGGTAGCTCTAGAGGGGTTTTCAGAGTAAGACCTACCGTTTGCTGTGCCAAGTATGAGATGGGGAAGTATGTCTTTATTGTACAGTTACTTGGTGGATGTGCAAGCTTCATTGACAGAGGAAGGCATTAGTAGTATTCCAGGTATTTCATAACATAGTGGAGTGTGTTTCTGTGATATCACGTAGGAATCATGAGGCATAGTACAGATTGATGGTAGCCTTGTTGATGATTGTGATTGATGGCTGCTTATATTGTTGCTTAGCCTTCACTTCTAAAGGAATGGACATGAAAAACTTTACTCCCACTTAATTCTTTTAACCATGTTTTAATCTATTTTATGAAATGATATAAGTATTTACTAGATAAATCTGAGTTTCATTTCTCATCATATGAGCATCTTAAATGTGTTTTGAAGGTATGTGATCGTGGAGTGTGAAGATCAGGACACGCAGCAGAGAGATCCAAAGACTCATGAGATGTACCTGAATGTCATGAGGAGATTCAGCCAAGCCTTGCTGAAGGTACTCAGGAGCTGAAACTGGGTTGGCTAGTAACCTTGTGAACTGAGAAAAAAGTAAAAGAGGGGACTAGGAGATAGTTCAATGGTGAGGAGCACTGGCTGCTCTTCCAGAGGCCCTGGGTTCAATTCTCAGCATCTACATGGCAACTCAAAACCACCCATAACCCCAGTTATAGGGGATCTGATACCATATCCTCTTCTGACCTCTATGGGGCACCAGGCATGCCTGTTGTACACAGATTTACACACAGGCAAAACACCCAGCCAAATAAAATAAAAATAAACCTATTTTGTTTTTAAATAAAGGAGATTAATATTTGTGATACATGAAGATTATTTGAAATCCCAAGTTCAGTGTTTGTAAACAAATTGCTGGAACATAGTTATTCATTTTCTAGTGTGTGTGGCTGCTTTTGTTTTGTTGATTCACGAATGGGTGAATCATTGGATAGGAAACTAGACAAGACTAATATTTTTACTCTGACCCTTACACTAGGTTTTTGATCTTTATTAAATAAACCTTACATGGACCAAACAATGAGCAAATCCCTGCTCTTTTAATTTTACGTTTTTGTCCTCTTTTCTCATCTAGACTCAGTACTGGTAGTTCTTTTGTAGATACTTTACCTGACTTCAGCAACATCTTCCAGGGCCATTTTCTGCTGCTTTTGCGTCTTTAAAGAAGCAGTGTCCAGGTCCGGCCAGCAGAGGGCTCAAGGGTAAAGAAAAGCAGCTGACATGGTACTTCCCAGCTCTGCTGCTGATATGTTTCCGGGCAGCTTTTTACTGTGTCTGCTCATTCCTGTTTCAGGTTCTTGAAAAGCTAAACTACAGCTTGTCAGACACTTTTAGACTAAGCTTGCGTACAGCTCTCGGAGCCGTGTCATGCTCACTAAGAGGTGAGCCTTCGATTTCACCTCATCACAGCCTTGCTCTCTCCCTGAGCCTAAACATCCTGTGTGGTTTTTTGTTTTGTTTTGTTTTGTTTTGTTTTTCAAGACAGAGTTTCTCTGTGTTAGTTTTGGTGCCTCTCCTGGATCTCGCTCTGTACACCACAGAGATGGCCTCGAACTCACAGAGATCCGCCTGGCTCTGCCTCCCGAGTGCTGGGATTGAAGGCGTGCGCCACCACCTCCTGGCTTGTCTTTTTCAAAGAAATTTCTTCTTAAAGCTTCTTTGGAATCGGGATCTTTATTAACTCAGTAAGTAGAAGCATTTTAGGATGGATAAATCCTGTCCTGTCACATGGTCTTTATATTATGGATTGAGTAATGATTGCTCCGGACCCAAGGAATTTTCTGCCCCAAGCAGTTGGTGGTGTTTACCCTGGACAGCAGGTTTCTCATTACTTTTGAATCAAAATAATTAGTCTGTTCCAGTCTCACTTTGTTTTGAAGTTCATAGCTTTAGAAGGGGAAGGGAATGATCACACTGTTTTGCTCACTCAGGGTGACAAGTCCGTCAGAGTCATGCGCTCCCTGCTGGCAGCTCAGCAGACCTTTGTAGACCGCCTGGTGCATCTGATGAAGGCAGTCCAGAGGGAAAGTGGAAACCGCAAGAAAAAGGTGAGCCACGGGGTTGCTTCCTGTTTATGGCTAAAAGTGGCTCCACATCCTAAAATCCTGAGTGTTGACTGTTGTCTTGTTGGATTGGCGTAATGTACAAACTTATATTGTTCACTTCCTTTTTAGAGACAGTTTCTTACTTGCTTTGTAGCCTAGACAAGCCTTGAATTTATCCTCCTGCCTCAGCCTCCTGAGTGCTAGATTTAAAGACATACACCACTATGGCTTGCTTTCTATGAACTTCTTCTGGGTAATTAGAGTTCCAGGAGCCCAAGACACTGTTGCCATTGGGATCCTGTTGTGTAGGTTATCATATGTTAATGTAAGGTGGTGGGGTTTCCTAGCTGTGCGGAATGGCGGGTTTAGAGGATTAAGAGATCAGTTTTCCATTATCACACAACCAGTAAGTTTGGGAACTATTTATCCCCAAACATAGTTTATCTATAGTGCATTACTTTCTCTCATCTTAGAACCTTAGTTGTTTAGATCACTTATGTAAAAATTTTGAGAAAACAAAGGACCAGAATAGATTGCAGAGCCAGCGTGACCTTTATGCCTGCTCTGGTAGCAGCCATCTTTCTCTCAGGTGGAAAACTTCTACATGATAAACAGAGTAGCTCGGTATCTCCTCTGCAAACACTGTTTTTTTTCTGGGCTGTAACTTTAATGACATGAAAGACTCACACACGGTGTCTTCCTTTCTCCTAATCCTGTAAGATGACAGGCAGATGTTTCTTGGTGGCCTTTGTCAAACACTGCAACCTACCTGAAGTATATAGACATATGAGGGAAAAGTTAAAGAATCGAGTCAAAACTTAAAAGGCAAGAGATAATTAAATTAAATAGATGATCAGAACAATTGTTTCCCTGATGAGAGAAGAAAATTGGCTGAACAGAAACACGTTTTTTTTTTTTTTTTTTTTTTTTTGGTTTTTGGAGACAGGGTTTCTCTGTGTAGCTTTGCGCCTTTCCTGGAACTCACTTGGCAGTCCAGGCTGGCCTCGAACTCACAGAGATCCACCTGCCTCTGCCTCCTGAGTGCTGGGATTAAAGGCGTGAGCCACCACCGCCCGGCCAGAAACACGTTTTTATCAAGTTGGCATTATTCAGAAGAATCATGGACTGTGATCCAGTAAAGAAATCCTAATGCTGTTTGCCTACCACCACAGGCTCCACCTGTCCCTGAGTGAGAAGCAATCCCTAGCGTCTCCCCAGCAGTGGGTGTATCTACAGCTTGGACCTTTGGTCTTCACAGCAGCACTCTACTTAGTCTGATGAGATTGTGAGCGGTGAAACCCCAGGAGGCAGTAAAGTGATGGCAGGATTTGGATTTCATGTGAGCAGTCACCATCCATTTTGTGAAGGAGTCTTGTTCATGACCTTTACTGAGATGCATAAATAGATCTGTGCCAGTGAAGAATTGATTTTAACTTTAGAGGCCTTGGAGTATTGCTGAAGGGAAGTCATTTTGTACTTGGTAGTCCTTAAGTACCATTCTTTGACCATCTAGTTCCTAGTGATTCTAAGACTTCCTCCTTTGGTGCATGTATCATGCCTGAAGTACTTTACAGCTCTGGATACATAAGTCAGGTCGTCCCTCTTTAAAGCACAGGTTGCCTATTTAAAGACTACAAGATTCTGCTGGCTTCAGAGAAAATGGGTTGTTTTGAAGCTGGGTAATGAGCTTTAGTGGATGTCAAAGATGACTTGGATTGCTCAGATTCTGAGATCTGTGTTCTATTCAGTGTGTCTACGAGCTAATGAAAATGAGAACCAGAGGTAGTAGGTAGGTAGCAGTTTCCTCCAAATTAATTAAATATTCCTCTTAAAGTTAAAAGATGCACTGGGGTAGCATAATGTAATACTTGTCTAATATTTGGTCATGCAAAATTAAGCTTCAAATGAAATTACACTTCTCTGTGGCTTCATAAATCCTTCAGACAAAGAAATTGAACCTTTGCGTTCCACTCAAATGTACACTCCTGGTTCTTCCTCAGCTGCAGTAAGAAAATACATTCTCTGTCACTCTTGAAGAAGTCTAGCTTTTCGTAAGATGGTACTTCCTGAAGGCACACTGCTCCTTGTACAAAGTGGGTCATTTACTAGAGACTGTTGCTTCATGCTCGAGTGAAATACATACATTACATGTTCTTGTGCTTTCATACACTTAAACATTTTTTTTTTTTTTTTTTTTTTTTTTTTTTTTTGGTTTTTCGAGACAGGGTTTCTCTGTGTAGCTTTGCGCCTTTCCTGGAACTCACTTGGTAGTCCAGGCTGGCCTCGAACTCACAGAGATCCGCCTGGCTCTGCCTCCCGAGTGCTGGGATTAAAGGCGTGCGCCACCACCGCCCGGCCACTTAAACATTTTTAAGTGAAATAGGATGATATCACTTCCCACTTCCCTTTCCTCCCTTTAGTCCTTCCCAGTTACCCTCACTTGAATCCTCTCATGCCCCCTCTCAAGTTGATAGCGGCTTTTTCTTTGATTATACTTGTTACATATACACATCCCTGTGTATGGAGATATATATGTATATGTATATATAAAAACTTGCTGAACCTGCCTTTGTTGGTGGTGTGTATAGGGATGACCACTCTGCGTTGTACAACCCATAAGAGGATAAGAGGACTCATTCCTAAGAGGCTAATTCTCCTTCTCCCAGGTGTCAGTAATTGCCTGGAGTTCTTTGTCTAGGCCTGGGCGCTTGTGATCTTTTCCTTCCATGTTAACATGTCAATTGATATTGCTATTGTTTCAGTCTTGTTTATACAGCCATTTCTAGGAGAGACTGTTTCATAGCAGACTTCCTGGGGTCACAGCTCTAGAAGCAGTGGGACCTGGGAAAATGGAGCTAATAAATGAGCTGGACTAAAGTCACATGAAATAGCCAACTTTTTTCAGGTCCTCAGACAACTTATACTCTGAGGGTTGAGAAAGTCACATGAGTGAAGTTCTCATGGTTTCAAACTATTTACAATATTAAGAACAAACTGAGTGTGGCAGAAACATGTTTTTCCATCAAGGCATAATTGTATAACAACAGCAAGCAATAGTGAATAACTGAAATAAATCCACTTCTATCTGCTACATGTCCGAGGAGCATGAAAACACATTCCAAGAACAATTCCGTGTCTTGAAGAAGCTGAGTTCACAGGACTCTTGTCTGGTTTTCTTACAAATACTCAGAATTCTCTTCACACGACTCCATTCCTGGACCGTCTTCCAACATCTTACAGTTTTTTTTTTTTACCCCCTCTTCCACTGTGTTCACTGAGCCAAAGATGCAGAAACTCTGATGTAGATGTATCCGTTGGGGCTGGCTCCCCGTGATCTGTTTGCTCTTTGCATTGTGTCCAGTTGTGACTTTCTGTGACAACTGCATTGGCTGGAAAGGAAGCACTGAGGAGGGATGGCGGCGGGTGGGGGATGGCAGCTGTACTTCTCTGTGGGTAGAAGGAGAAGATATAGAGTGTAGTAAGGCATGAAGCTGGCCTAGTAAGTGGAGGTAGTAGATTCTTTTCTAGGGCCCATGACCTCAGCAGCCTAGAAGGTTGGCTAGGTTTCCAGTACCAGGCATGGTTTCCCTCCTTTGGAGTGGGCTTTAAGTCCGATTGATGAGGGCTGATGGTTGTTGCCGGTGTGTAAATGCAGCTTCTCACCTTTGTGGGCCTTTTGCTGTGCTGTCAATCATGGTTCCTAAGCGTCGCATCTGCTTGATTGCTTCTGTTTCTTGGCAGCTTGCAAGCTTGCATAGTGTTTCCTGGAACCATGAAAGCCAGACCTCAGGATTTTAGGTCAGATCCAGCTCGTGAGTCACGTGTCCTAAGTGTGTGATGTCTCCAGCAATAGGGGCAAAGAACACTAAAGTTACTTGATAAAGCCTCAAGGAATCCTATTCTTTTATATTTACCTAAAGTTACATTATATATTATATATATATATATATATATATATATATTTATCATGTATAATGCGCATACACATATTTGCATAAACATACTCAATACACATGCATGTGTGTGTCTTAAAGGAAATTAAGTAACTTGGATTGACAGTGCTCCCTCCAAGTTCCATAGACTAAAAAAAACTCCAGTACCAGGAACGAGAAACTGCCTCATTTGTGAAAGGGTGAGGGTTGTCCAAGTGACTCCCAAATCACTATGGTTTATCAGTACAGCCCTTGGTTGCCTCTTGGGTTGAGGGAAGGCCTTTGTTGCTGCAGTTTTCAGATACTTTTATGTGCTTTGCAAATAGTGTTAGTAGAATCAGTTTTAGGCCTTTATTGTGTACTTGTAAACTATTTTTTCATTACTCCTTTATAATTTGTTCTAGAATGAGAGGCTTCAAGCATTGCTTGGAGATAATGAAAAAATGAATTTGTCAGATGTGGAGCTGATCCCATTGCCGTTAGAGCCACAGGTGAAAATAAGAGGAATCATACCAGAGACAGCCACACTGTTTAAGGTAAGTCTGGTGGGTTGTCACTGTGTTTAGAATCCGAGCAGAATTGCCACCTTGGAAAGTGAAAACATTTCAGGGAAGAACCGAATTTCACTTGGTAAATGTTAGATTAAAAGAGGCTGCTTTATTATTTTTCATTTGTATGTTTTGTTATTCATATTATTGTGATTGGATTCATTTTATTTATATGAGCATTATGCCTGCGTGTATGTATGTGTACTGCCTGTGTGCCTGGTGCCCTCAGATCAGAAGAGGGTATTGGATCCTCTGGAACTCGAGTTGCAGATGGTCGTGAACCACCTTGTGGGGGCTGGGCCCCCTGCAAAAGCACCAAGTGTTCTTAACTACTGAGCTACCTTTCTGGCCTGTTATTATTGTATCTTTTGTGTTACAATTATAGAGATATTTCTAATGAAAATATGTCATATTTTTGTCTCTGAAACTTTATTTTTTAATATTTACTTCTTTGAACAGTATTCAGAGCCACAGTTACTATTCATATACAGTAGATTTTAAAGGTGAATTTCAAGGCTTACATTATATATTCAGTTCATAAGTTCAAATGGCTAGATATCAGGCCCATTTACCATTTTTTTTTAAACTTAGCACAGTCCTCATTCCTGTGTTCTTTATATTTCTTTGGTTACATTTTTAAGTAGCAGTTGTCTTTATTCTTAGCAGTGTGCCACATGTTCTCTTCACTGGCCACTGACTGTACAGTAGAACTTGAATCAGATTATCAGGTTTCCTGCACCTGGTATCATCTGGGAGGCACTGTGGGTAAAGTTTTGTGATTCTAGGAGTAACAAATTCCCCCTAAATGCCTGCCTTGAGGAGATTTCTAACAGGGTCCAGAACAGATGCTACAAGCAGCTAAGGATGCTATCTGAGGGATATTCATTGAATCTAAACACACCGAGTTTGTTAGTCCATTCCTTTATTCTTCTAAGTCAATTCTATCTACACAGTTTCTTTTCTGATCTCACACTTAGCTCCTCTCAGTCCCTCCTGCTCTCAGTCCCTTCTGCTGTTCTCTCATGTCTATCTAGTTCTTTCTGTCTCCGTCCTCATCTTTATTCTTCTCAATCCATTCCCCCAGTGCTCCCTGAGAACCAGTATATATAAACATGCAGTAATTTTTTGGCAAAGCAGTGTGAGGCTTGAAGTTTTCAGGGTCAGAGGTGATAAGGATCCACACATAAAGCAATAAATGTCAGCTTCCAATTACAACCCCCCAAAAGGGGAGTTCTCTGGTAGGGTCAACTAAAGGCTAAGATCAGTTAGGGGATGTAGGAATAGTACCTGGCTGAGGAGGAATTAAAACTTAATTCTCACAAGAAAGAAGCTTGACACCTATCACAGGCCTGACCTTGACAGCAGTCTCCTTGGGTCAGTGGGAAGTAACTACCTTAACTCAGTAACTAGCAAGTAGCTAAAACATCATCCCAGGAGTGTGAGCAGTAAATCTCTTAAGTTAGGGTCTTGTGTAAATAACCCAGGGTGAAGGTAAGGGGTTGAGGATTTAATTGCTTGTGGCTATTTTCTCTGTCTGTGAGTGAGATGAGCTAATGTTTATCTGTGTGCAGTTTTGTCCTTGGAAAAAGGTATTTTTGCTGAAATACTTTTGTCCTGAGAATGGCCCTGGACAGATGTATGTTAATGAAAAAATAAACGCAGCTGGGGACAGTTGTCCAATTACCCCAAATGTATAAGGAGAGTTGTGCCCATGATTGAGATACAATCAAGAGATTACATGTACATATAACATAGAGATGCACGGTAAATGGGGAGACTCATAGCTGTTATTGCACAAGAAGTTTACAACAATTAACAGCCAGTTCATTCAAAAGGCAGTAATTCCATAACGTCTTGTGTGATGGTTTCCTCTAACAGAACCCTTAGTTCTGATAGGTTGACCTTCTGAACACTAGTTGTCACTGCTGTATACTCTCATGGACTTTTGCTATCAGCGGCTCTCAGTATAGGAGCACACAACCATAAGCTTCACTGATATCCTTTCCTATCAGGTAAGGAAGAGCTCCTAGAACATGATAGATGAGACCATCTAAGGCAGAACAGGAGCTTTCTAGTGGTGTGTTAGAGAATCCAGTCCAGCTGAGCTCATACAGCTGCACAAGAGCTTCCTCATACAACATAACCATACTGGAAACATCTATTGTTTTAAAATGCTTTAAGAGTTTTTGTTTTGTTTCTTTCTTTGTTTTTGTTTTTAAGTCTGAGTTTTACTGTGGCCTTGAAGTTTTGAGTCTCCTGAATGTGCATCTCCTCACCATGTTTCGTGACCCATCATGGTGGGCCAGTGCTCTGCCAATGAGCTACAACATTAGCCTCTTAATTGCCTTCAGTTTTAAATATTTCTCTCAGCTCATTTAATTGGCTTTGAAATTTATTAATAATTTAACAATCTGCAACTTAAAAATACTGATTTTATAACCTACTGTTGGATAATACTGGTATACACATTGCTTTATTCTTACATTCTGCTGGGGGGTTGAAATACAGAAAAACAATACGTGAACAGTCTCTGTGTGAACTGCATTCATATGGAATAAACCTGCAGGTAAAACCCAATGTCCCTTTTTTCAAAGAACCAGTCAGGAGCAATGTCTTAGAAAGGTATCTGGGATTTCTTTTGGTCAGGGTAGAAGAATCCAGGAGCTTTAGAATAGGAGCTGGTGGCATGTGTTTTCCACAGGTATTGGATGGATTCCCAACTCACGTTCTCCTCAGTTACAGACTATTATAATATTGTCTTCTGTGCACAGAGTAACGCCGGTAGAGTGTCACAGGACATCTTTCTGATTCAAATATCCAGTCCTGTTAGTTCCCCCTCCCCCTTCATTCTGATGTGTACAGGCTTTCTTGAAAATTATGAGTTTTAGCTTAGGCATAGTGATGTGAGGTAGTTACTATTCAAAGCTAATGAGTAGTGACTGTTACACAAAGCGCTAGAGTAATTCTCAGCTACTGCAAATCATTTGGGTCATCGATACCATGAACTAGAAAGTGATGATTATATTCCTTAGACTGGCCCTGTACTAAGCATATGTTGAGGCTTTTGCATTTTGGGTGGGGGGGGGGTTAGGATTCCTATTATATTGTTATAAACTCTTTTCAGCTGAAAAGGGTAAGAACTTCTTTTCCCAAGGTTTTTAGTATTTTGTAGACCTCATCCTGGTAGCCAAAGCTGCATCCTGGTGTAGCGTAGACTACCTCAGGCACTGAGATGGGTACCGCATGTGCAGTACAAGTCCTCTGCCTGCCGTGGGTGTCATGTGTTCTTTCCATTTCAATTTGGTTTTACAGCAGCATATGCAGAGCACAACAGAGGTCCTCTGCTCCTCCTCTGCCCACTCCTTTGGAAGATGGCTCCAGGTCCTTTGCTTTCAGGCTGTCATGGAGTCAGCTAGAGCTGATTTACAAAGACATTTCAGCAGGGCTGATAACAGGACACCCCAAGTGAAGGTGGTTTGAAGTTCAGATTGCTAGTCCACCGGTGTTTCTGTTACATAGCTTCTCGGAAGGGGTTTTTGTGACTTTCCCCTTATTTTTGTAGGTGGTCTTCAAGCACACAGCAAAGCTGCGTTTTCACTGAAGAGCTGTGTGTCCTCTGCTCCTTCTGTCTGTCCCCAGCACTATGCAGTTTGCTTGTCCACTTGTCGGTTCTTCCTTCTGATTCTTTTTATGATACTTGAATTGTATACCTCATTGAGTACATTGGACTCATTTGTGTTATAAATCTCTCCAAATTTTCATTTTATATATTTTTTTCCTTTTACTAATAAAGACCCATAGTCTCTCTCAGAATGGTCTCGTCACCAGTTGTCTCCACTGTGGTAGTCTTGGGATGCTTTGATGTGAGGTGTTGATGATTCTTCCATTTAAGTTTTGACTCATGTTGATTTAAGCATATAGAAGTTTTGCAGCAAGGTTCACAGGTATTTATAATATCAACGTGCAAATGGATTTTGAGCCTCAGAGATACTGAGTTAGTGGTATGTAATTAGCATTAAAAACTAGCATTCTTGAGGGCTGGAGAGATGGCTCAGAGGTTAAGAACACTAGCTCTTAACTCTTCCAGAGGTCCTGAGTTCAATTCCCTGCAACCATGTTTTGTTTTTCACAACCATCTATAATGAGATCTGCTGCCCGCTTCTGGCCTGCAGGTGTACATGCAGGCAGAACACTGTATACATCAAAAAGCAACAACAAAAACTAGCATTCTTGACTTAGATCTTGCCCATTTTTGAGTGGCATTCTTTCATATTATTGCTCCAGTAGGTTTTTGACACCAAAACAACATGAGGACATATGGACATATATTCTGAGTCAGCTCTGCACCTGGCACCAGAGATGTCAGGCTTGGGCTCCCGAGGTTTCCTACTGTCTTAGTGAGGGGTAACCTTGGTTTCCAGAGGAGGAACAGTTTAAAGAATCCATATGGGTCACTCTGCTGCTGCCTGTGTGCATTCCTGTCCGTTCTGGTCTAGCTCCAAAACTGATCTTTCTCCCACAGTCTCCTGGCTGTTGCCTTGCTTGTAGTTGGTGGCCTGGCGCCTGCATTTCTTTCTGACAGCCAGTTCGTTTGTTGAGGCCCTGCGCCCGTGTGTGTGTGTATGTGTGTGTGTGTGTGTGTGTGTGTGTGTGTGTGTAGCGGAGTGGCAGCATTTCCTTCTGCATGTAGTAGATTTCTGTTCATTAAGTTCCAGCCCATTTTTCAGGCAGTATCTTTGCTTTGCAGAGTGCTCTTATGCCTGCGCAGCTGTTCTTTAAGACAGAGGACGGAGGCAAATACCCAGTTATTTTCAAGCATGGCGATGACCTGCGTCAAGATCAGCTGATTCTTCAGATCATCTCCCTTATGGACAAGGTGAACGGCACTCTGTGCTGGTGGGGACAGAGCCTTGTTTTAGAAACTGCAGTTTACCATGTTCACAGACCCAGAAGCATTTGTGTCGTTAATCACAATGCTGCGATGCTCAGCACTCTCTACTTTACTTTGATCGAGCTTATTTTCGTCACTTTGGAGAGGTTCTCATGGGAAGTGGGATTGCACATGTTCCATACACTGTTTTTGCCAAAGTTCTCATGGTTTCAGACTTAGTTGTCTAATGAGCTAGATCTTTGCCGAATGCCATCCCAGTCTCCAGCTTTTAGAGAGACATGGGTCCTCTTTGTCTTTGCTTCTGCCTTCTATGTTACTGTGTCCCAGAAGGTCAGCGTGAAGCGTTAGGAAGAAAAGTGATGTTTATTGTCAGTGTATGATATTCAGAATAGATGAAAATGTGTCTTATCACCCAAACAAATGAGTTCATTTTGACGCTGAGAGTTATGTAATGTAGTACCTGTAAGATTTCCGTCTGTGTCTTCATTGTAAGCCTGTGCTCTGATACATGTCCATGAGCCTGTTTCCAGTCTAACATTCACTTAATGTGTTTTATCTTTCAATCCAAAGCTGCTCCGGAAAGAAAATCTGGATCTGAAATTGACACCTTACAAGGTATTAGCCACTAGTACAAAACACGGTGAGTTCATTTTACATCGTGATCGCTTTCTTCAGTTTCCAGTCAATACACTTTGCCTTTGTAAACTGAAAATCCTTAAGAAAGTTAGAGAGTGACTTACTCAGAACCCCGAAGACGTGTTGGGTTGTCCTTCCCATCTTCCTCTCCTCTCCCCTCCGCCCTTTTCTTCTTTTCTTTCTTCTCTTCCCCCTTTCTCTCTGTGTTCCTCTCCTCCTTGTTCTATGTGTTCACCTACTTCTTTCACTTCCTCGTCCTTCTCTCCTTCCGTTCCCCACCTCTTCCCTGCTGTTTTTACTTTTCACATTGGAATCTCTCTGCCTTCCTACTGGCTGTAGGTCACAGTATTTTCTCATATCTGTCTGCATAGTCCTCTGGAGAGTTTCTGAGGCCCAGAAAGGCCCTGAACCACACTCGGCTTACAAAAGCCACTCAACAAGTGCATTTGTTATCTGCTGCATTTTACAGTATGTACGTGTGTCTGCACATGTACACCTTTGTGTACACACAGAGTGCGCCTGTAAGTCTTTGTGCTGTTGGATAGTTTGACACTGGCTGATGCTCAGTATGAATTATAGAGATCAGCACTTCCTATATGTTTTACCTCTCCATTTCCACTCCCATGTCTGGTGGTGGTGATGTCGTCTTCTCATTTTCTCCTCAGCGATCTTTCTGAAAATACAATTCTGTTTCTATGTGCCTTTTTGCTTTCCTGCATAAGTTTATTTCTAGCTTTTCATTGCTCTTGGGACAAAGACAGAGAGGAGGCCACCTGACCGAGTCGGGCCTTGCTGACAGGCCCCTGTAGCTGTGTCCAGCCGTCCCTTTGCTCCTGTCCCCATTTCACAGTCTTGGTTGTGGTGGGTCCCTCGCGTTTCTCTGATGCTCTTTCCATCTCGGGGCTTTAAGGTGTTGTGATCAGTATGTGATGATCATTTCCTATAAGCTTCACTTGTTAACACTCAACTTTTAAAAACGTGGCCCCAGTGTCTGGTGGCTTTGGATTCTTGTGTAACTTACATCTCCCTCCTCGACTTCATAGTGCCCTTTCATTTATAATATGTATTCCAGTAAAACTTGAGCTTTAACTGTATGTATAGTTGGGGATAAACATCTTTTTCCCACATACGACCTAGTTTATACTACATGATAGAAAACTAGTAAATACTTGTTGAAGTGAATGAATGTAGGGTTTTTTTTTTCCCCCATATCTGTACTCTGCAGGAATATCCTTTGTCCACAAGTTGTTAGAATGTCAGGGCCACCAAATCCAGATGGTATTTGGTGAATCCAGAAATGGTGCTGCCCCATCACTTAGTTTTCCCCGTGTTTGTTGTTACTGCTCCTGTACCAGGTTGACTGGTCCTCTTCTTACTCTGCCCACTTTGCACACCGTTGCCTTCCCAGTTTCTTTGCTCATCTAGGGAATTTGCACATCCCTTTCTCTCGTTTTCAGGGCATCATAGAAGGTGCAGTGAGTGGACAGAACTGGAATTTAAAATGATTTTTAAATTTGTACTGTTGTTTTAAAGGTATGGAAGGTTGCTAGGTTTGAGGAATATAGTCTATTACCTTGTGTTCTTCATGTTAACTGATGGAAATTCTTCTAGGGAAACGTACAGATGAATCAGACTAATTGAAAAAGTTACCTAGTAGTTCTGTGAACAGCATTAAGTTAGTGCAGTGGCCACAGTCCTTCTTTCTCTGGGAACAGAATAGAATGTCCACTAACGGGGAAGGTATGCCCAGCAGAGCCTTGGTTTCCTCTGGCTGACCAACCTACATGGTACAAACAGCATGTGTCAGACCTTCCTGACGGGCGGGAGTGTGCCCAGCAAGGGGCTTCATGCCGTGTACCAGACCTTCCTGACGGGCAGGAGTGTGCCCAGCAAGGGGCTTCATGCCGTGTACCAGACCTTCCTGACGGGCGGGAGTGTGCCCAGCGTGGGGCTTCATGCCGTGTACCAGACCTTCCTGATGGGTGGGAGTGTGCCCAGCGTGGCGCTTCATGATGTGTACCGACCTTCCTGATGGGCGGGAGTGTGCCCAGCGTGGTGCTCATGCTGTGTTTCTTTCCACGTAGGCTTCATGCAGTTCATCCAGTCAGTTCCTGTTGCCGAAGTTCTTGACACGGAGGGAAGCATACAGGTAAAGACATCCTAAGAAATGCTCACAGCTGATGAAGGAGGACTCTGTTAAGATTAAAGTGTCCTTTTCTTACTCTTCTTTCTGTGAGTCTTAGTTCTCCTCAGAAGTAAGAATTATTGTTGTTGAAAGTTATGCTCTTAGTCATTTGGATGCTCAAGCCCTTACACTGCGTGTGGCACATAACTGGGCTCAGTATCTATAAACAGATACTCACTGTTTATAAAATAAAGCTCACTCCCCAAACATACTATACAAACTAAAACTTAAAGTTGCATTCTGCTCCAAAATATAGAACAAGTGCAATTTAGCCATTAATTGATGAACATTTTAGTTATTTCCAGTTTTTGTTCTTAAAACAAAAATTTTTCTTCAAACATCCATTGTATAGTTGTGCCCATATTATGGCAAATTTTTTATTTGGGGAATTTTTTTTCTTGCCCCCCCCCCCCAACCCCCAGGAAACCATGCTTATTTTATCCCCTTAGAAGAGGTCGCGTCCGCGTCATTTTCCCCATTTTTCCATCTGGCCCTATTGTGTGTCTTTTCACTGTAGCAAGCACTGGTATGCCTTGGCTGCCTTGGTTCCCTTAGCCATCAGATTGTCCAGAGGTGTTCAGGGCACCTGTCCGTAAAGGTGTTGGTTGTGGATGCTGCCTTTGATGACAGTTTTCTCAAATGAACATTTCCTCTGATGATTCCATCCTAGCAGCTCATGGCATTGTTTTTTCAGAGTCAATTGAATTCAAAAGTTATTTTCACCTTTTCTGTCTCCATTCCAATTTACACACACGAGCCTCCATCAGGAAGGTCCGGCACACTCCTCATGACCAGGTTTCTAGCTTTTGGAATCTCAGTATTGCTTTCCTTTGCATTTTCTTGCTTGAGTGGAAGGTTGTGCATTTGAAGGTGCACCTGGTAGGCCTCCTGTGAAGTGCTCCTTCACATCATGTGCTCTTGTCCGTATTTGTGTGCTTGTTGATTGATGTATAAGAATTCCTCGGGTACTCCAGGTCCAGATCCTTTGACAGGTGCCTGAGGTGTCGGGAAACTGAAAACAGAAACCCGTGGCTTATGTGTGCTGTGGGATTTCCACTTCTTGTATTCAAGCTCCCCCATAAAGGGCGAGTCTACCTGTTAACGTGGAGGAAGTAACCCAGAGGTCTTCAGGCTCTTGCACCAGCATGGATTACAGAACACTGCCATTGCTGTGCTTACACAGCCTCAGACTGTCTTCTGACCCCAGTTTAGACTCAACACTTGGCCATCAGTCATGATTTTGTAATGCCTTAACTGTTCACATGTGTTAAGTTTGTAAAGTTGCACACAACGTCTTTTCAGAACTTTTTCAGGAAATACGCCCCAAGCGAGACTGGACCCAATGGTATCAGCGCAGAGGTCATGGACACTTACGTCAAAAGCTGTGGTGAGTGTTTCTGGCTACGTTTCTTCATAGATGCGTGAGTGAAGAAAGCTGGCCATACTGATGATGCTGTATTGATTCATAATTACAACATGTTAAGATCAAAATGTTTCACCAGAAAACAAGGGTGGAAGGTGGTAAAAGAAATCCTTGGGATTTTGAAATGATAGAGGTGACCAAGTATAAGTGCTCTTAATAGTAATAGGTTCAGGCTTCCCCTCGCTTAGTTTGCTGCTTGGCCATCTTGGAGCCTAGTAATTCCTGCTACAGTCTCCCTGTTTTGAGTCATCATTAAGTAAAGTAGTTAGTGGGGAGGTCAGAGGCAGGGGTACTCAAGGGCAATCATGACTAGCTGAACAGGGATGCCACAGCTTCCTTGGTTATTGGGGAAATTGCTGAAGCTAAAGGAGTGCAGATTACTTTTGTGGTCAGTGGAGTGTGTGACTTGGCGCTGAATGTGTCTTTCCCACTTCTGTTGTGTTCAGCTGGCTACTGTGTGATTACGTACATTCTTGGAGTTGGAGACCGGCACCTGGATAACCTTCTGTTGACAAAAACAGGTAACAAGTCAGTAACATTAGAAGACAGAGTTTCAGCCGGGCAGTGGTGTCTCACGCCTTTAGTCCCAGCACTCGAGAGGCAGAGGCAGACGGATTTCTGTGAGTTTGATACTAGCCTAGTCTGCAAAGTGAGTTCCAGGACAGCCAGGACTGTTACACAGAGAAATCCTGTCTCAAAAAACAAACAAAACAAAAGAGAGGAAGAGGGAGAGAAAAGAAGATGTACTTTTGTATATGGTGATTTTTCTTTTATCCTAGAATCAATTTAAAATAAATTGCAATACTTATTGATAAAGTATAGGTTCTTTAAAAGATTTGTAATGCATTTCTTCATTTCTGTATGTGTATGTGGTTGCACACGTGCCGTGGTGTATGGATGGATGTCAGAGGACAACTGTCAAGAACCAGTTCTCTCTACCTGCCGTGTTGGTCCAGGAGATCCAGCTGAGGTCATCCTGAGGGTCCATGTAGAGAGTGCCTTTAGCTGTTGAGCCATCTCACTGGCCCTGGATTCTTAAGTCCCTTAAAATGGGGCATTGGAAGGACACACAGGGAGAAGCCCAGACTGAGTAAGAGCACTTTAGCAGGGAGCCTGTGAGTGACCCTCTAGTCCCATCCTGCATGCAGAGCTAATGTAGAAAGCGATGTATGTAGGCAGCCAGACTCCTCTTGAGCATGTCTAGATAAAGTGTTCCCTCTCCTATTCTCATAGGTTTCCTCACTTCAGCAGCTATCTGGTGGTTTTCTTTCTCCATGAGGCACAAGGAGTGATCATTCCTTCCTCCCGTCTTCGTGATAACTTAGTAACCCGTTTGTTGGTTGGTTCTCAGTCTTCTTTCCTCAGCCTCCCAGTCCTGGGATTCCAGCTTGCCCCACCTCCTGATCTCTAAGTACCGTTGGTAAACCTCCAGCTCTAGACGTCCCTCCATTCCTTTCCTTCAGCCGCTTCCTTGACGTCTAAATCACACAGGACCAGCTACTCTCTTCAGTGATGCCTCCCTCCAGCCCTGCTCCTCCCCTCCCTTCCATTTCAGCAGGTAGCAGCCCAGGCCCAGAAGCCCACTAACATCTCTCCGGGCCTCATATCACCATCTCCCTTGTCCGTAAGTCTGTTCCTCAGCTCTGGGACCCATCATTAACGTGCCGGTTCTGCATTTCCTCTTATTGAGGCCACCAACCTAAAATCTGTCTGCACGTCACATCACTCCTGCCACAAGACAAGTGTCCTTGTTTCCTCTCTCTGGACAGGTCTTTGCTCAGATCCTTACAGGGCAGACTTTGGTTATTGTCTGAGCTGAGTTAGGATGTTCTTAGCGAACCCGGAATTATTTGCTCAGTAACAGCGTGTGCCTTACCCTCTGTCACTCCGTATTTATTACTTCATTCTGTCTTCTTTATGTTGGTTGAAGGTGTTTGTTACTCCAACAGGGATTTGTTAAGTACCTGCTAGAGGCAGGGCACTTTCTGAGGACTCCTCAGTCATCTCCCAGTCAGGGTGCAGGACCTGTGAGAGCAGGGGCCTGTCTGTCAGCACCATGACTCTAGGGCCACAGGCAGCAGTTTGCTAAGTGACAGGAAGTCGGGGTTGGAGTAATGGGTAGCTAATCATCTCTGCTCTTCCCTGTAGTCCTTTCTTTGAACTAAATAATCCCAGTGTCTGGAGCTTTTTGCAGAAACTAGGTTTTCAAATTACTGTTTAAAGCCATCTTTTCTCATATGCAGATGTTTTTTGTCTTTTTGCATTTCTCTGATTATGATAGCCAGAATTTAATAGAATAGTTGAATGTAATCTGACCAATTGTTAATATTCTAACCCTGTTAACTTACTCACTAATAGGATTTCCATATTCATTTTGAATTATCATATGTGAAATTTATTTGATTGAATTTATGTCTGGGATACCATGTTCCTGTTTTGACCAGTCTCTGTAGTAGTCAAGACAAAGGACACTCTCTGGTCGTGACAGAGGTTCTTGACTAGTTTAACATTTTAGCAGAAGGATATGTGTAAAGTGTCGTGATGTGTTGGCGAGCATTCTCATTTGGAAGACGTTCTCTTGTGTCTCTTCTCTAGCTCTCTGTCAGACTCCAGGGGCTCCCGACTCCTGCCCTGAGCTCGTTTACACCCATGTACTTACTGTACACTGCCCAGCACCCATCTCATACTTCTTCTCTCTGGGTTTATGTGCTTTTTGTTTCCATATTTGTTTGTCTTATTGGTATTCTTTTTTTTTTTTTAATCTCTTGATTTTTTTTTTTTTGTTGTTGTTTTCTTTTTCTTGCTAAGGTGGGAGAGAGAAACGGGAAGTTGGGTGAGTAGGAAGTTAAGGAGGGAGAGAAAAGAATGTGATCAAAATATATTGTATGAAAAAAGATTTAAAAAACCTCTAGAAGAAAACTCAGAGGGGAAAAAAACCTTGAAATAAACTGGAATAGCAATTTTTTTTGACCTGTTGTAGAAATAAAGATTGTGAATTTTTAGTTTTAAGCCTATATCAGTTTCCACCAGAGGGCGCTTCAAGTTTGCCTTTAGATAACAAACTTCCATGAAATATTCATAAAGAACATTCTTTTTTTTTTTTTTTTTCTAAAATGCAAGGTGTTTTTTCTTTTGTTTTGTTTTTTTCTTTTGAAGGGGGCTGGGTTTCGAGACAGGGTTTCTCTGTGTAGCCTTGGCTCTCCTGGAACTTGCTCTGTAGACCAGGCTGGCCTTGAACTTATAGAAATCTGCCTGCCTCTGCCTCCTGAGTGCTGAGATTAAAGGCATGCATCATCACTGCCCACCTGTGGTTGTTTGTTTGTTTATTTAAATTCATCTGCCCAGTAATTCATCCAGTTATATCCTGCAGTAAGCATTTTAAGTCTTCCTTACTAGGGAAATTAATTAATTAAAATATAAGTATAGGTAAGCATAAGTCTAGCTGGGGTATGGTAACTCACACCTGTACTCTGAGCACTGGGAAGACTGAGGCAGGCAATGGATCGCTATAAGGCAAGTCTGCCTGGACTGCAGAGTAAGTTCTAGGCCAGCCTACTCTACAGGGAGATGTCTAAAAATATTAAAAAGTTAAATAAAATAAAAAATCTAAAAGAAAAAGAATACCAGAGAAATGCTTTCAAAATTCTCAGTTTAGAGGGCAGATGGTAATGTTTCAAGGCAGTTTCCAGTTACGTTATCTACAAATAGTGCTATGGCTGATTCTTAACAAAGTAAATCTTGACTGCTGGTTCATGCAGGAAGTATATTTCAGTTCTTTTATTTTAAAATGCTTCATTTTGATCATCGTCCCTTGTTTAGTTTTGGTCCATTATGCCGTGAACACAAATCTTAGATCATGTTAGAAGTGGAGAACTTGGGGTTCTCTTATGTAGCTGCCATGTCTCAGCAGCTGATGTGGACTGTCTGTCTGTCCTAGTCTCTTGGCCAGCAGACCAATGTTCAGAGTGAGGCTCTGCTTTGATGGTGGCGGCTGTGCAAAGGAGTCAGAGGTCGCCTGTCACCTCTGAAGTTCCCGGATGTGAGAGGTGGAAGGCGTCCCAGGGAATATAGATGGGCTAGGAAAGGACTGGCTAGGAACTCTAGGTAGGTGTGAAACAAGGTGCTTCAGTGAATATGAATAATTAAAAATACGTTTAAAGGTAGTGTGCTGAAATGCAAACCATGAGTCTCAATTATGGATCTCCCTAAATTTTTATTTCTTGGTTTGAGGACTTTTAGCTTGTTAGGTCTTTCCTTAGTTGAGCAGCAGAGGGCACTGTATATCCACCATAAAATTGAAGGCCTTTATTAGAAGACCTTGTAGTCAATTAATGAGATTTTTCTCTTTTAAGGGATTTGAAATCATGTTTTACTTATTACTGAATTGTTATACCATCCTGGAAAAAGCAGGAAGCTACAAATTTAAATTGGCATGAGATCAAAATGGGGATTTTTGTTACTCAGAGTTGATGTATGTGTATGAAACCATAGCTTAGTCAGGGAGATCAGTTGTAGTAGAACATGTTTTAGTTACTGGTCTGTCGCTTTTGAACACCATGACCAAAGCAACTTTCATAAAAGAAAACATTTTATTTGGGGCTTGCTGTAGTTTCAGAGGCGTAGTCCATGACCATCAGGGCAGGGAGTGTGGTGGCGGCAGGCAAGCAGACAGGCCTGGCCCTGGAGCCAAGAACTTGCATCCTGATCTGCAGGCAGCAGGCATAGTGACTGGGCCTGGCATGGGCTTTTAAACCTCAAAGTCTACCCACAGGGACACTCCTCCTTCAACAAGGCCACACCTCTTAATCCTTCCCAAATAGTTCACTGACTGGGGCCCAAGCATTCAAACATGAGCCTATCAGGCCAGTCTCATTACAACACGACAGGACTCAAATGAAATGAGACCCGAATTTATCATAACTCTTGATAAAGAATTATTTTTTATTTTTACTTCTGGAAATTTGAGGAGAGGTAATCAAGATAACTGAAGAACTTGTTCATTGCTTATGATATATAGTCTGTAAATAAACTAACTTAAAAGTGCACATTGGATGCTAGCAATCTTGGCCAAATGGGAACTTACTTGTAGGTCCTAAAACAGCCCTCCCGCTCCTGAGAAGCCAGTGGTTTCTTTGTGTGTCTGTCTCAGGTCTTCAGAGTGACCTGCTTCAGGGCTTCTGTCAGAAAGCTCAGTTAACGCTGGTCACTGCTGACGTAAAGGGACAGTTTTTTAGGACATCTCCCGTCCTTACCTTCCCTATTACACTTTCGTTCTATGTGTAATTAACTTTGTTAGAAATTCTGAGGAGAAAAGGCTGACTTAACAATGAAGGTGTTTTTCTCTAAAGTAAAACTCTGATGCCTCTGGGCTACTTACCGTCTGTCTCCTTTTCTGGGCACAGTAAGGTTAGAACCCTTGTCCTGGTTGTTGTGTGAGGCTGGCAGATGGCATGGTCCAGGTATGCTGGTTCTGTTAACACCGTGGGCTTCCCTCAAGGGTGAGCTGCATTCTGACTGAGAT